GACAACCTGGCATTCGCCAAACTCGGTGTAGACAGGCATGAGTGCTAGGTGTAAGTGCATGGGTCCCGGGAATAAAGGCAAGCAGGCTGCGTCACAAAAAAAAAATATTGCTCCCCACACCTTCACACAGGCAAGGTGGGCTTCACGTGCACCAATAAATAGTCACTTCTAGATCACGTAACACCAAGACTCAAACATCGGTTTTAAAGGCGACAGAATCAGAGATCAATCACTTTGACTGAACATATTAAATCCAATACCAGGGCAGTATTTCCAATTCTACCAGGTGTAGTGATGGTAACTGAAGGTAACCTTTTTTCCTCTGACTTATCTGTGAGGTGGCCCACATAAAAGACATTCAGGGAATGAGAACTGTTAGCAATGATACAATTGACAGCGCCCTTAGTTTGTAGACCTATACTGCAGTATAAACGCAACTCTCCTTTTCTTTACAGAGTATTTTTATGATGTGTGCTTATGTATAAGTGTGAAACATTGTTGCTTTACACAGTACATATACACACATACAAACACACTTATGTACTTACAATGGACAATGAACAAAGGAAAAGATGCTTATCAAAGTTAAAATTGCCCTCAATTTTGTAGGAAAGTGGTATACGTTGGCCCCGTTTTGCATTGTATTATTGTTTGTTCCAGTGGAAGAGAATAGAATTGCATTAAATGTCTTAGCTGAGTACGCGGCAATTTAACCAGGCAGTATAAGACACTCATTTCAAATGGAGGCACAGTCAGGCACCACATCACGACTTTTTGGTCAACAACAGACTACACTGAAGACAGCAGTCCCCTAGGATGACACTGGAGCTGCCCAACGCATGACTCGCGTTCGTGACGGTGCTGCTGTGGACAGCCCTCCTGTGTCGCTGGTTGCATTGAAGTGCGAACATGTAGCTACCTGACCCTTGGCGATCAGCACGTGCATCACTGGTCTCTGCATTTACTAGGCTTCATCAGTGTTTTGGAGTGTACTCCCATATATGTACATATATATGTTAACTGTAAAATAGCCTCAGGCAGGTGCTTCAGGAGACATCTGGAAGACCTTGTTCCCAGGGGAGCTGACGGCTCCATATATGTTACTGCCCTGCAGACCTGGGGGGACAAGACGTGGAGGTGGGAGAGCGTGACACTGGCCACCTGAGCCTGTGCAGGCCGAGGCTCGAGGTCTGTTTCTTAGCTTTTAACAAAAAAGTTTAAAAAGTAAAGAAAAACTGTTTGTATGGCTGTACATGTGTGTTTTAAGCTAAGTTATCACAAAAAGAGTCAAAAAGTTATAAAGTTCGCAAAGTAAAAAAAATTAAACTTCGGTTAATTTATTACTGAGGAAATAAAAATATTCAAAAAATGAGTGTAGGGTAGCCTAAGTCCCAGTGTCTGTGAGGTCTACAGTGGCGCACAGCTGTGTCCCAGGCCCTCACGTTCACGCACGCCTAGCTCCCTTACGCAGCCAGAGCCACTTGCAATCCGGCAAGCTCCATTCGTGATAAGTGCCCTGGACAGGAATCCTAGTTTTAATCTTTTTACTCCACTTTTTCCATGTTTAGATACACAAATACTACTGCAAATACTACTGTGTTACAATTGCCTACATGCAGGTTTGTAGTGTAGGAGCGACAGACTACCATACAGCCTGGGAGGGGAGAAGGCCACGCCACGTAGGTGTGTGCGAGTACCCGTTAGTGTGTTCACGCAAGACGAAACTGCCCAGCCACACACGTCTCAGAAGGCATCCCCATCAAGGGAGGCATGACTGTGTGAGGAAGACAACATTATTGATTGCAATGCTGTGACTTACGCGTCCGCCTTTCTCAGGGAAGCACTGGCAGCCCCCACTGCAATCTCTTCCGCCACACGGCACATCAGACTTCTTCACACCCTGCGACAATAAAACAGAAGGCAAACAACACGTTACCTAAAACATTGCCCACTGTGATATGTATTAAAATACACCTGTTGAGAATCCTTCCAACTCTAGAAACTATTCATTCAAAACATTCAACAAGCCTTTTTCAAAAATGGACTTTAATTTTTGGGGCAGTTTTTGGTGCACAGCAAAATGGAGTGTAAGGTCCAGAGATTTCCGACCCCCCTACCTCTTCCACCCTGAAATCCCCACCTCGCCATCCTGCACCTGTGACCAACATGTAGGCTAGTTACAATCGCCAAGCCTGCACACGTCACCATCACCAGAGCCCACAGTTGACACCAGGGTTCACCCTTGGTGCTATATGCCCTTTGGTCAATGAACCTTTAAAAAGTGCCCACTAAGTGCCTGAGGCCAAGCAAAGCCCTGGGCCTCCAGCCTCAGGAGAACATTCCCAGGATCAGGGATTCCACATGAAGTGAGCATCTGAAATGAGCAGGCCTGTGGGACCCGTGAGAAACTCCAGGCATGGGCAACAGCTCTGCCTTCTGCCTGGACAAGTGGAGCATGTGCCTGGAGAAAATGCTTGTGGGGAACCCAGAAGGGTGAGCAGGAGTGGGCCACCATGGAGGGGGAGGAGGAGGAGGTGTTGGTGCAAATGTTGGTTCCCTCATGGGACACCCATCATGGTGATTGAAGTGATTGAACGGGGACACCCTGTTCCTGTCACCAGCTGAACATCCGGGTGGAGGTGCAGGTGGCACGGCCAGGCCCACTCCCCACTTCCACCCAGCAGGGCCTTCTGGGCAGGCCAGGGCAGATGGGCAGGACACACAGGCTTCTGACCCAAAACCTCCTGGCCAGAGTTGGTCCTGGGTCCCAGCAATGACTCCATATTCCTTTGATATGGGTGATAATTTTTTTTTCTTTAGCTAACAGTTCTCTACTAGAGAAGTCTCATTGGAGAGTTTCACATTTTCTGTGCTCTTCCTATAATTCTTTACCTAATACAGTATCTGATGCATCAGTCACTACTATAAAAACCTCCAGAAAATTGGAAAGTCCCAAACCCTTTAGAGAGCTGTGTGAGGAGGCGGGAGGGACTGGCCGCATGCCAAACCCTCACCTGTACCACCGATATCACTTGTGATTTCAACTGTGGGGCGTCTGCAGAGGAAATCCACTTCCTTTCTCCTTCGCCCTATGACACACACTTAGGCTCAGTAAGGGGGAGGAATGCAGGGAAGAGGTTTCCCCAGGATCTATTCAGGCAAGTGGGTGACCCCACTGAGCATTTCATCAGAGATGGAGACACAAGCTGAAGTGAGTCAGTGAGAAACGGAGGGAGCTCCTTGGCTGGACAGTCCTGATGGGGCAAAAAGGCGTTTCTTGTTCCCCGATCTCAACATTTAGATCAAAGATGGACTTGGAGATTGGGCTACTGGACAAGTACCTTAGCTCTTTCTTTCAGATTGTGAAAGTATTAAATGTTTTGAGATGATGGCAATCAGAGTGACCCTGTTTTCTCCCCTTTCTTATCAGCCAAGCCTCAGCTCAGGCCTCCTCTCCCCCAACAGGTAAGCTATACAACCTTCATCTACAGGCAAGCCAGTGCTGCCCTCCCCACACACAGGTGAGCTAGTGCAGCCCCCCCAACACACACACGTGAGCTACTGTAGCTCTCCTCCACAGGTGAGCAAGTGCAGCCCTCCCCCCACACACAGGTGAGCTAGTGCAGCCCTCCCCCACAAAGGTGAGCTAGTGCAGCCTTCCCCCCACACACAGGTGAGCTAGTGCAGCCCTCCCCCACACAGGTGAGCTAGTGCAGCCCTCCCCCCACACACAGGTGAGCAAGTGCAGCCCTCCCCCACACAGGTGAGCTAGTGCAGCCCTCCCCCCACACACAGGTGAGCAAGTGCAGCCCTCCCCCCACACACAGGTGAGCTAGTGCAGCCCTCCCCACACACACAGGTGAGCTAGTGCAGCCCTCCCCCACAAAGGTGAGCTAGTGCAGCCCTCCCCCCACACACAGGTGAGCTAGTGCAGCCCTCCCCCACACAGGTGAGCTAGTGCAGCCCTCCCCCCACACACAGGTGAGCTAGTGCAGCTCTCCCCCACACAGGTGAGCTAGTGCAGCCCTCCCCCCACACACAGGTGAGCTAGTTCAGCCCTCCCCAATGCAGGTGAGCTACTGCAGCCCTTCCCCCACACACAGGTGAGCTAGTTCAGCCCTCCCCCACACACAGGTGAGCTAGTGGAGCCCTCCCCCAACACACGTGAGCTAGTGCAGCCCTCTCCCACACACAGGTGAGCTAGTTCAGCCCTCCCCCCAACACAGGTGAGCTAGTTCAGCCCTCCCCAACACAGGTGAGTGAGTGCAGCCCTCCCCCCACACACAGGTGAGCTAATGCAGCCCTCTCCAACACAGGTGAGCTACTGCAGCCCTCCCCCAACACACGTGAGCTAGTGCAGCCCTCTCCCCACACAGGTGAGCTAGTGTAGCCCTCCCCCACACAGGTGAGCTAGTTCAGCCCTGCCCAATGCAGGTGAACTACTGCAGCCCTTCCCCCACACACAGGTGAGCTAGTGCAGCCCTCCCCCCCCACACACACAGGTGAGCTAGTTCAGCCCTCCCCCCACATAGGTGAGCTAGTTCAGCCCTCCCCAACACAGGTGAGTGAGTGCAGCCCTTCCCCCACACACAGGTGAGCTATGCAGCCCTCCCCAACACAGGTGAGCTACTGCAGCCCTCCCCCCACACATAGGTGAGCTAGTGCAACCCTCCCCCCACATAGGTGAGCTAGTGCAGTCCTCACCCACACAGGTGAGCTAGTGCAGCCCTCCCCAACACAGGTGAGCTAGGGCAGCCCTCCCCCAACACACAGGTGAGCTAGTGCAGCGTGCCCCACACAGGTACGCAGTGGCTCACAGGTGAATCTGAATCTAGCTTTTCATCCTCTGCCAGCCTGCCTGGAGCCTCCCTATTATCACAGTTACACCTAAGGAGCGGTGGAGAAGGCCGGCTTCTGGTGTTCCCTGATTCAAATCTTATCATGCAAGGAAACTTACCAGATGACAGAATCCTTTCCAATTTTAAGCAAATTGTGTTTTACCAGAGACTTTTCACTCCCTTCGAAGTTTCAGTGACTAAACAAGACTATCACATGGGGCTCCCTCTGTATGTTTTTGTGATTGCGGGTCTGTTGGAACCTCCCCATTCCTGTCACCAGCTGAATGTCCGGGTGGAGTTGCAGGTGGCATGGCCAGGCCCACTCCCCACTCCCACCCAGCAGGGCCTTTTGGGCAGGCCAGGGCGGACAGGCAGGACACACAGGCTTCTGACCCAAAACCTCCTGGCCAGAGTTGGTCCTGGGTCCCAGCAATGACTCCATATTCCTTTCATAAGGGTGATATTTTTTTTTCTTTAGTTAACAGTTGTCTATTAGAGAAGTTTCATTGGAGAGTTTCACATTTTCTGTGCTCTTCCTATAATTCTTTACCTAATATAGTATCTGATGCATCAGTCACTACTATGAAAACCTCCAGAAAATTAGAAAGTCCCAAACCCTTTAAAGAAAACAATACCTTGAAAGTCTTTTCCATTTCTTTTTGGTTATCTTTTTGTCTTGAGTGAGGTAATGAGGCAGCTGGAGTTCATGGTGTCATATAAAATCCTCTCATGACCTGAAAACGCGATCCTAAGTATTTGCCAATTTTTAAAATGACTTCAATGTTTATCTGCAATGGGGCTCATAAACCCCATGATTTTATATATGTGATTTCTAGAAATCCAACTCCACACCAAAGTCCATGTCTAGATGGGCTGCTGCATTCATGCCTTTCACTACACACGAGGGAGGCATGAGCGGGCACTTGGCAGAAGTCCTCAGTTCACCCAGTCATTCACTGGCCAGTTGTCCAGGAAGGGCAGGCGGGCCTCCCGAGTCTATAGGGTGGAGTGTCAACACATACTCTCCATCTGCTGTTTCCCAAGCTATTTTTAATTTTGATTTTAAAGCCACTTGCCAAATCCCTGTATATAAATCAAGGGTTGAAATGATTTTAATGGTTTCAAGTTGATCTAATAGACTCCTTAGTCTAGGTTTAGGATATTCACTGTATTGAGTTGCAGTGACTTATTCACAGCCCACTCAAAACTGAACGATGCTTTCTTGCGTTTGGAACTAGGGCGTGTAGGTGAAGATACCTCCCACTTGCAACACTCTTCTGCACGTGCTGATGGCTCGGGTGCTACCTTGCAAGGGAAGGAATGCCTCACTGAGAGGAGGCCCTGCTCATTCCGAGCCAAAGCAGTTTCCAGCATGGACATGCTAGCTGTGTGCGCACACACGCACGTGCATGTGTGTATGTGTGTTCCCACTGATACCTTACCTGTCCTCCAGAGAGACTCTTAGGAATTCCAGCATTTACAAGAGCCCGAAGCACCACGCTTTGGAATGTCAGGTCTCCAGGAGGAACAGAAATATTCCTCCTGGAAATATTGACTTGTTAGGGCAGGGTGTGTACTCCAGACAGTCTCTTAAAAACTGAACAAGTCTCTGACCTGAGCCTTGGCATTCTCCTGACAAGATATGGGTCTCAGAAACAGTCTCGAGACATGAGTGCCTTGCTGAGGACCTCACATGAGGGGTGTGAGGACTGCTAAGCGGGGTCCCTTGTCTGTGGCCCGGCCACTCCCTCCAGCAGAGGCACACTGATCCCCCACCTGCCGTCACTCTGCTCCCAGCCCTCCTGCCTAGCCCTTCATTTTAGTGCTTAATGTAACCCAAAGACAAGCCATGATCCTATTCTTGTCAACTCCTTAATAAAAATGAGAAATTTCCTCCCACCCTGCATCCTCCTGAAATCTCTGCTCACCACCTTCAGGACGAAACACTGGCCCTGGGCTATATTTGGAGTTTCAGTCTCTCCGAGGCCTGCTTTTCCCTGTCAGGTCTGGTTTGCCTCAGTGTTCTTTAGGGGATTCATGGGTCTCACCAAGCATTTGACATGCCTCTTTTTACCATGATCGCAGGCTCATAAAAGAAATATATATTTAATCCTCCATTAATTTCTCATTTCAAGTCTGAATTTGCAAGGCAGCAAGTGTATAGAGCAATCCCAATGCCCGGCTCTCACAGAGGCCCCCCGCAGGTGCACCTGGCTGCTGGCCTCATTGAAGCTCCCAGGGCCAGGAGGTTCCTGCACTCCCACTCTAGGTGTGGAACGTGCTCCAGGCTCATGGGGCATGCTACAGCCTTTCAACCGGCTGGCCAAACGCCTGCGCTTGTATGGGTATCCTTCACCCCAACACAGGAAAGGACTCACGGCCTATTGGTATCAGTTCTACAGAAGGCTTGTGAAAGTTGGTGGAGGCACCCTGCCCCCTGGAGAATGCCTGACTCTTACCTGCTCATATGCACACAGAACTTCCCATCTGGGGGCTCGGGACCACCGTGGAACCTGAACCATGTCCTGCACCTTCCTTCAATTGCACCAGTGAGAGGGCAGCGTCCCACCCCCGATTCCAAACTAACATGACAAGGGGAAGGGGACTGGGCGGCCCTTCATCCAGCCTTTCACTTTACAAATTCATTCACTCTTTCATGATCACTGATGTGCCATGCACTGTGCTGGGCTCTGGGTATAAAGTAGGGGCAGATTAGACACTGTTCCTGCCCTGTGGCATGTGACCACGTAGACAAGAAGGTTAAGTAAGTAAACAAACAATGAAACCCACATAATTTAAATGCTGGTAAGAGCTGTGAAGAAGAAGATGGTTAGACAGCAAATTAGGGAGACTGGTCCTTAAGCGCTGCGGGATCCTGTTAACAGAGAGGACTCACTATGCCCAGGCCCATGCCCCAGGGCTCTGCTAAGGCCCATTATTCCCACCATGCCTACACTCCAAACCCAACCTCCCTGCCTGACAGCCTGAGGCTGTCACTGCTAGAAGGCAAAGACAGACTGGCTACCGCTAACCACCAGGCCTAGGAGGGCACGACCTTCATGCCATCACCACCACCACCACCACCACCACCACCATCATCATCATCACCATCATCATCACCATCATCGTCATCATCACCATCATCATCATCACCACCATCATCATCACCATCACCATCATCACCATCATCATCACCACCATCATCATCACCATCACCATCATCATCACCACCATCATCATCACCATCACCATCATCATCACCACCATCAATCATCACCACCACTATCATCACCACCACCATCATCATTATCACCACCACCATCATCATCACCACCATCATCATCATTGTCACCACCACCATCATTATCACCACCACCATCGTCATCATCACCATCATCATCACCACCACCACCACCACCATCATCACCATCATCATCACCATCATCGTCATTATCACCATCATCATCACCATCATCGTCATTATCACCATCATCATCATTACCACCATCATCATCACCATCACCATCACCACCACCATCATCATCACCATCATCATCACCACCACCATCATCACCACCACCACCATCACCATCATCACCATCATCATTACCATCACCATCATCATCACCATCACCATCATCACCACCATCATCATCATCATCACCATCATCATCATCATCATCACCATCATCATTACCATCACCATCATCATCATCACCATCACCATCATTACCATCACCATCATCACCATCACCATCATCACCATCATCATCACCATCACCATCATCATCACCATCAACATCATCACCATCACCATCATCATCACCATCACCATCATCATCACCATCATCATCACCACCATCATCATCATCATCACCATCACCATCATCATCATCACCATCACCATCATCATCATCACCATCACTACCATCATCACCATCATCATCATCACCATCATCATCACCATTACCATCACCATCATCAGGGAATCAGGAACATCTTGTATTGGAGTGACTTGAAGCCCATTCTTCCTGTGACTTTCAGGATGCCCCTACATTGCTGTGCTCCCAGCTTGCAGCTCAGGACTCTATTTTAAGCTAGTGCCACTTTTTTGTACCCATGGTTGAACCTCTTTAGTCCCACTCAGCTGACAGCCAGTTCAGTGGCTTCCCAGATGTGTAGCCAGGAAAATTCAGACCTGAATTCCAAATCATGGAAGGAGTTTGCCTAGGGGGATGAATCATTACTTCCCTCAGCAAATGAATGAACATTACTGAGGGTCTGCAGGCAGTCCCACCTTGCCGACTATCTCATCACACACCAACCTGGAGGCCAGAACTGAATGGACTCATCCGCTCCCTCAAGAAAAGGTAGGGGAATTAAAGAAGCTGGCAGAGGCACTGTGGACAAAGGGAAGGGGCTTCTAAGTTTGATATTGTAGCTCTTGACATTGTTAGTGTTGTGGAAGCAATAGAAATAGTTCTGAAAAAGAAATGTGAATTATACATTTTCAGAAATAAGAGAATCCAAAGCAGCTTAAACCTAAGAAGCACGGTGGACATGAACGTCTTTGGGCTGCAAGGAAGAGATGAGGATGGGTCATTCTTGTACCAGTTCACAGGGACAAAACCCAAGCTGGCAAGGGAGGAGCAGGGTAGAGAAAGCCACAGGGACAAAGAAGCAGGAGAGAAGGCTGGGTGTGGGGGCTCACAGCTGTAATCATAGCACTTTGGGAGACCAAGGCAGTCGGATTGCTTGAGCTCAGGGGTTCAAGACCAGCCTGGGCACCAAGGTGGATTCCTGTCTGTACCAAAAATAAAATAAATAAAATAACTGGGTGTGGTGGTGTACACCTGTGTTCCCAGCTGCTTGGAAGGCTGGGGTGGGAAAATGGCTTGAGCATGTGAGGTGGAGGTTGCAGTGAGCCAAGATCATGCCACTGCATGCCAGACTGGGCAACAGAGCGAGACAGAGTGAGGCACCATCTCAAAAAAAAAAAAAAAAAAAAAGAAAGAAAGAAACGAGAGAGAGCAGGTGGTGGAGAAGACACTGGACAGAGACTTTGAGGAAGATTTACCTGGCAGTTGTACCTCAAATAAAATGGGAGAGAATAAAAGGGAGAGGAACACTGACCAGAGGCAGAGACTCAGACGCAAAGTCAAAGAGGTCGTGAGTGCTTGTCTCAAGGGCAGCTGCTCTCCCAGCTGGCCTCTGCCTTGGCAAGCGTGCTGTCCACACTCCCAGCTGGCCTCCGCCTTGGCAAGCGTGCTGTGTGGACAGGCCCCATCGGCATCACCCTGGAGCTGGTGAGGAATGCAGGCCCCACCCCACCTTCCTTGGAGCAGAAGCTGCTTTCCAGCCTGACTTCCAGGTTAGCACATTGAAGTTTGCGAAGTCTTACCTTGGACTGGCATTGTGAAAACAGGCTTGGTCTAGAGATAGCGAGAAAGCTGGGAACCACTGAACCATCACCCTGGGCGCTACAGAAGGTAGGATTTGTTACAGGTTCAGCGTGTTCCATGACTCAGTGGACCCCTAGCATATCTGTTCTAGAAAAGTGATGGCCCTTGGACAGTGCTTTGACCTCTGTGACCTGTGCTGCATCTGGGGAAGCTGTGAGCCCTGAGGACTCAGTGGCTGAGCTTCCAATCCATCAAAGTGCTAGAAAAATTGTAGTTCTCTCTTTTGCTCTCTCTCTCTCTCTCTCTTTTTAATTCAAAGTATCCTTCCAGAACACTTCTTTTTCCTGTTCTGAAACTGGAAGCCAGCATTGCTGTGCCAATTCAAAATTATAGGAATCAGAAATGTTTAGAAGCTAGTTGGCAGTATATGCAAAGGCATAAGATGTGTTTTCCAGAAGGCTGAGATTACATTCTACTCAACTGGAATGCAACAGACATTTTTTCCAGGTGCAGAATGGGAGTCTTTGAGTGGGGGATTTACTGGTTGATTTCCTATATGGGAATTCTTTTCCTTGGAGTCTTATTTAAATCTTGGCATCATTACATTTAGAAAGATATGAAAATTGGGCTGGGTGTGGTGGCTCATGCCTGTAAGCCTAGCACTTTGGGAGGCACAGGTGCAGGATCACTTGAGGTCAGGACTTCAAGACCAGCCTGGCCAACATGGCAAATATCTCTACTAAAAATGCAAGAATTAGCTGGACATGGTGGCTCACACCTGTAATTCCAGCTACTCAGGAGGCTGAAACACAACAATTGCTTCAACCCAGAAAGTGGAGGTTTCAGTGAGTGTAGACTGCACCACTGCACTCCAGCCTGGGTGACGAAGTGAGACTGTGTCTTTAAAAAAAAAAAAGCCATGAAAATCCCTCTGCATGCACAGATTTATCCTAGACGTCAAATCACTCTAGTCCACAATCTAGATTCCTTGGTGAGTCTTCTACCTCTAGAAGAACAAAAGCCACGGAACCCTGTAAGGAGAACCAGGTTCCAGTTACTGGGCCAGGCTCCTATAGGGATCAAGTAGAGAATTTCGGGCTTGGAGACACTGGCTCTCTGGCTGCCAGCAGAGGCTCTGGCATTTATCAATGGGAGTCAATGGAGTCAGAGCAAAGATCAAGAGTGGCAGCTGCAGGATTAAGAGGACATCCGGTCCCCCGGTTGCTGCCCTGCCTATTCTGTGAGCGACCCAATGACAGTGAGAACAGAGTATCGTGTTGCCTTCACTAGGATCCTGTGCCACCAGGCGGAGCGAAAGTCCTTTGCCGCCAGGGAAAAGGGTGTCCTCCTCGGTAGGTGTATGAGGAATGGCCCTGTCTCAAAACATGGAGAAAACTGACCAGTGTCACTTATCTCCATGGCAGATTGGTACTTATATTTAAGGCACTAAAAAATAGGTTTAAATGACGACCTGAGTGCCAGAAAATCAAATGCATAAACGACTTAAACTCTTTGTGACTAGCTATTTCTCTACTACTACTGCAAATCATCCATGTACAGCAGGGGAACTAACCATGGGAAACGCACCCAGCCCTCTGCAGATGTAACTATCGTTTAAAGTGGGTGCCATGTAGATGAATGAAAAAAGCTGCCGGCCATCGTTCTCAACTTGCACATAGAAAATGAGTAGTAACTGAGTTATTTCAAGAACAAAACTCATCTGTCCCAAAACAAAGAATATTTTGTCCTCTACATGTTCCAAGAAACTTCTTGTCCAAGGAAGTCTTTTTAAGCCAATTTACCTCCAGCCAACAGGAGCCATCCTCTGAAGGGAATTTACACATATGTGACAATTGGATTGGGCCCAGCATCTAACCAAATTCCCTCCACAGAGGAACACTGAATAACCCATGCTAAGTGACACACAAGATCAACACCGCCTACTGTTAAAAAGTTATCATTTTCAGGAGGCTGAGGCAGGAGAACTGCCTGAATCCAGGAGGCGAAGGTTGCGGTGAGCCGAGATCGCGCCATTGCACTCCAGCCTGGGTAACAAGAGTGAAACTCCGTCTCAAAAACAACAAAAAAAAGTTATCATCTTTTAAAAAGTTAAAACGTTATCATTTCAAGGCAAAAAAATCTATACAAGTCTTCGTCTTTGACACCATTCCAGTCAAGCTGGGCTTTTAGAATTATTATTTTAATCAGAAAAGAGGCCAAAAGAGAAGAAAGCCAACTCGGGAACAAGGCTCCCAGTAAAGTTCTATTAGTTTATCAAAACAGGAAATATAAGCCATTTCCGCACATGCAGCTTTAGAAATTAAGGAAATAATTCCAACATGGTATTAGCAGGGCAAGGTATATGGAAGAGGAAGTGCAGGAAAGCCGCCCCGTTCAGCTTCCTTTGTTTAAGTGTTTCAAGGGCATCCTAAATAAATGTGTTCCCTCTACAGAATGGTCTTGAAATAGTCACCAGCTAAAGATGGTGAAAGGCTGAAGGCCGGGGTGCTCCCCCAACATCCAATACATAAGTCCCATGGGCTTTTCTGGAGTGCCAGTGGCTGACCTTCTAATCCATCAAAGTGCTAAAAAAAATGTAGTTCTTTCACTTTTTAAAAAAAATTCAGGCCGGGAGTGGTGGCTCAAGCCTATAATCCCAGCACTTTGGGAGGCCGAGGCGGGTGGATCACGAGGTCAAGAGATCGAGACCATCCCGGTCAACATGGTGAAACCCCGTCTCTACTAAAAATACAAAAACTTAGCTGGGCATGGTGGCTCCTGCCTGTAATCCCAGCTACTCGGGAGGCTGAGGCAGGAGAATTGCCTGATCCCAGGAGGTGGAGGTTGCGGTGAGCCGAGATCGTGCCATTGCACTCCAGCCTGGGTAACAAGAGCGAAACTCCATCTCAAAAAAAAAAAAGAAAAAAAAAAATTCAAAGTATCCTGCTAGAGCTCCTCTTTTTCCTGTTCTGAAACTGGCAGCCAGCATTCCTGTGCCAATTCAAAACCACAGGACTATAGGAACTGAAAATGTTTCGGAGTTCCAGCAGCCATGACTGCATCCATGCCTGTCCTCATGGAACTGGGAGACTCAGAGACGGAAGGAGGAGCTCAGGCTGTGTACTTGGAACAGGAGACCCAGGAAGAAATGGCAGTAGTTCAGCAAGAGATGGGCTAGACACTGTTTGGGAAGCCAGCCGGCCTTCCTGTCTGGAACGTTCCTTCACTGTCTCCCAGGCAAATACCTGAGGAATGGGGTCACTCCCCTCCTGGTTCAACACGGCGGCAAGACATAACCGGGAGGCATGACGTTCGGTGCCTCCCCTGAGTCATCGGCAGCAAGCCGCGTGTTTTCATGCCTGCACACCTATGCCTCTTAATGAGCAGTGACCGGCCAACTGGGCCACCTTCCATCTCCGCTCAGGCAGCTCCATGTCTGGGGTGTTTTCCACACACAGTGTGGTTGGCAGGGCCATCTCTGACAGCCACACTTTAGTGCTGGGGCTTGGGTCCTGGTGGGCAGGACTGGCTCCAGAAACAAATCAGGAATGTGACTGCCAGGGCATGCAATGTGTGGTGCCAAAGGCCAAGGCACATCCCACTGGCATCCGTCATCCTGAGACGTTTAAGGCAGGCGGGGCCCCAGGTGGGGACTGCTGAGAACCCAGGAAGCTGAAGAGCAGGTGTGAGGGCCCGACCTGGAGCATGAATGACGTGGCAAAGGGCAAGACAAGGGGCAGAGTCCAGGCAGAGAAGTGACCAGTCCTGCGGAGCCATAGCATCTGCACAAAGGGAGGATGTGAGGGTTTGGGGATGTGATTCAGCTCCTCAAGCCTTCTGAGCTGAAGGGTCACCAGTACCTGGCTCCCCGGCCTGGAGCTCCCGACACGTGAATGAGAGCTGAGGCCCAGCCAATGCAGTCCGAGCCAACGATATTTTGGAAATACGTCGTCCTGGGCAAGAGATGATCTCAGAGCGTGGGTGGGCCTGGCCTCAGGTGAGGACAGGTGGGCCATCTGCCGGAGTGAGGAAAGGGGGCTTGGCATTTCCTGACACACAGCCTCTGCCCTGGCCACATCGTCACAGTTCACACTCAATGCATTTCTAGAGGCAAAAGGCAGCACTGAGCTGGGCCTCCTCACCAGTGAGGAAGGCAGGTGTGTACTAGGGTCTGGCAGGCAGAGGCATGTACCCAGGTGTTCGTACTTGGCAATGAGCCATGATGAGCGCAGGGGATGAGGTTCTGTCCAGAGCCTGCCCTCCCTGTTCCTTCATGGACTCCCGTTGGTCTACAGAGCACCCTGGCCTTCACCTGGGAGGACCTGCGCCCTCATTTGTTTGGTGGCTTTTTTAGGTGCTGGCTGGAGACTCAGGGTGCCTCATCTTGAGTCATCTGGACTAGAAGCCTGGAACCTACGCAGCAAACACCCAGGGTGTGAACATGGGCGTGGGGCCGTCGTCAGGTGAGCAGGACTGTGGGCAGCACATGTGACAAGCAGCCTTCTTAGTGGGCATATAGCAGGGCGCTGGAGCCGCAGAATGGGGCACTGAAAGGCAGGCAATTTCCGTCTCGGAGCACTGGAGGGTGTCCCGTTGAAGTAGGAGTTACCTGCATTTGAAGGTTTCCTTGCCTGTCTTCGAATGTCTTGGCCATTAGAGTTCTGGTGTCCCTGACTTGTCACTCCGAGTTACTTCCCGAAATCTGTTCCATCACCCCGTCATAGCCACTGCCCCTTATATTGTCTATGGCTACCACAGATCAATGGCTAAGACTGCTGAGATTTATTTTCATTGCAATTTAGATACATTTACGAATTCATGGCTAAACTCTCCTTGGAATAGGGTCTTACTCACTTGATTCCGAAAGTTAATCTTACACGACTTCCTGCCTGGGATTCCCAAGGCTTTGAGTTACAGCTGAAACAACTCCTCAAAAGCCTCAAGTGAGAGAGAGTTCTCTTTCAAGTATTTTGAGGCTGCTCCTTCAGGTCCCCACCAACCCTCAAGAAGCTCCGCATTTCCAAAATCGCCTCTCACTGGCCTGCACTCCTGGCCCCTGGCCCCCAGGTTGTGAGGGTGACAGAGGCAGCCCAGGGTACTGGATGTGTCAGCAGCACCCTGGAGCTGGGGGCAGACAGCATCTCAAAGCCCATCTTCTTGATGTCATCGTGAAGTGGACACACAGCCAGCACTATCCTGAGAACCAACACGTACCCAGCTACCTTGCAGAAGGTGGTCCCCTGTGCTCAGGTTCCCCTGCACAGGCACAGCTGAGATGGAACAAGATGGGGGCCTGGGTGTTGCTATCTGCATCACGGGACTTCTGTCCCTCACAGCAGCAGGGCGTCTGTCGATGGGCCAACTGCCAGAAACCACCTTCCCTTGTCCCCTGTCCTTCTCCACACTTAATATAAATTGCCACCCTTCATGTCTTCGTCAACCACTGATGACTGGCAAGGTGGGTACTTAGCTAGGTGGGTGCTTCTGATATTAACCCTTTAGTTGAGAGTCCACATCGGGTTAAGAAGAATGGGTGGGAAAGTCAAACTCAATGTGAGTTTGACTTTCTTCTTCCCAAGGTGAGTGGCTGGTGTGTTTGAGTGGGTCTCAGCTGCACCGACAGGGAAGGTGAGGGTGTGGAGCCAGCATCTGATGACCTCTGATTTCTCCACCCCAGTGCTTCCCAGGACCAGCCAGCTTTGCTTCTCCTGAGGCCCACTGACAGGGGTCCTGCTCCCCTGCATTCACTGTTCTCTCCACTTTCAAAGTCTCTTCCTTTCAACTACAGCTGAATGCTTAATCACACATTTTACACACTGATGGAATGTGAGGATTTTCAATGCATCGAGCGTGAACACCTCTGGGGCTCCATCCTCCACAAAGAAGTTGCTTTTGTACACACCGTTCCTTCAGCTTGGAACGTCCTCCACACCCTCCCCTTCCCTCTCAGTGCAGCCGAGACCCACTCAAACACACTAGCCACTCACCTTGGGAAGAAGAAAGTCAAATCATATTGATTCACATCTCCTCCCACCCACTCTTTTTAGGAACAGGCATTTCTGCTGTGACACAGCATATGACAGTTTCTGAAAAATCCTCACACTCTGCAATACCACACAGCAAACCAACAAGCTCCATGGGAAAAAGAGAGCCAGGCAGACCGCTCAATACCGACACAACTTTGTAAGTAGGGCCTTAATAAAATGGTAACAACCCTAATAAAAATAATAGCACAGTTTAATAGGCGTGTTAACTTCCCAAATAAAGAAATACTGCAGTCAGTAAAGCACTTTATCTTAAAGAAAAGTGACAGCATCGTTTCATAGAAGGCAGTGTAAGGAAGTGCTCAGACTGTCACATTAAAAAGAGCAAGGACAGGATGACCACATAATGAAGGAACCGTGCAGAAAGCCCTTCTAAGCAGAGGGTGCACCTCTGTGAGGCAGGAGAGAGAACACTGGGGCCTTGGGGTCTTGTGAAGAGTTCTGTTCCCTGACAGTTTGCTGTGCTGACACGTATTCATTTACTTCCCCTTCAGCTACCCTGTTCCTCAGAGGTGCAAACATCATGCTGGGAAAAACGTCATCCATGAACTAACATGACTTCCATTCCACGCTGACATCATTCTCTTCTGCTCCAATGGCCTATTGGCAAGTACGAGTTAGAGGAGAGGCGCTGTAACAAACAGCCTACTTCAATATCCTCTCATTTACTACTCACTTAAATGTCAATGTTCTCACCAAATAACTAGTAAGAGCACGGGCCACATGAAAGATGATCTTTTATGAAGGCTATTTGTCATCATGTCATCCTTTTAATAGCCTTAGGGATTTTGTTCAGTCTCCGTGTTGAGAAGAGCAAGTGACAAGCAGCTTTTAACACTTGTTCAAGAGGCCACCAATGGAATCATGACTAGAAGTGAGTGTTCAGGCTTACAAGCGCACACATAGTAAAGCGTTTCATGTGCTACATTTCAAATAAATGCCCTTACATATTTATGAGCTATGTTTTTTTGTTCTGTTCAGTTAGGGAGAGACAGTCCACCGAGACATCATCTAATGTAAGGATTACCTCACACGTTATCCACACTAAATTTTAATTATTTATACGGCATGCCAGTTCTTGGTATCCTTTGGCAGTGAATGAAAATGTGTGTGTTGTTAGTGTTGGCATATAGGTCTAAGGTAAACATTAGCACCGTTTGTAAGAAACAAAGTGGATCCATCTCTTGAAGCTATTTATTCCAGAAGGAAGTATGTTCGGTTTAAGAGTTCTGTCCAAAATCTGCTTTCTGTGCTAAATTTGGGAGAAAAAAAAATCTGAAAAGCATGGAATGAAAGAGATCCAGCAATCCTTTTTCAGAATACAATAAGATTTCTGTTCTGGCTGATGAAGACTGGTCTAGGCAAGGAAGGTCCCCGTTTGCTTTGGCACGCAGAGAGCGGCACTGAGCCGCCCGGGCAGGCTCGGCCTCAGGTGCCTCAGCTTTACCTTTGCAAACTTGACCATCAAAGTCCCAGGGGTTTTGAGGCCATGGGCAACACCACACCCACGCGACAGCCATTTTATCTCCTTGCTGGTCTGGCTTCTGGATTAGAATTTCTGAATTTCTGCCCTGCCCTTTCTCCTGGAGGTACGCTGAAAATTGAATCACACCTGCCAGCTTTCAGATGGCGTATACCTTTGCCTTCCCACCTCAGCAGGGATTGAGGATGCCTTTGCTGTGAACTCACACTCAGTAGTTTTTTATTTGCCTGGAAGAATGTCTGTGCATACAATCTGCTCTAAGTCACAGCAGACGCCTGTTCCTGGGGCCAGCAGAGGAGCGCCCATTGCGTACAGATGGGTACAGGCAGCACGCCGTTATTTAGGAGTGGATTATCCACCTGGAAATTCCAACAGTGGATTTTTAATCCAATTCCTCTCTGCCCCTCAGAAGGCCATTGGGCTTTTGATTCTTGTGTTTGATGCACGGAGACCACACAGACAGTCACTGCAGTATAAGCCTCCGAAGACTGCATGTGGACTAGGTTAGACCAACTTTTGGATGCTAACTTCTGTTGATGAGGCTTATTTGGAATTAGCATGAACACATTTTTAGGTTTGAGCACTATTTTTAGAGTGTTTGTCCTGAGTGTGGACTTTTAGGAGCCAGTTCTGCCCTACTCTCCTATACTAGTGCATGAAGACAGTTATTTTTCTATCGTTTTAATGCTTAATCTGGAGTGTTTGCAAGAAGATGGGTTCTTCCTGGGCTCCAGAGTGCCATAATCCTGTCTGGTGCCTTTCCCTTACCCCAAGCTTCCAGCTGGGTGTGCGGGTCTCCAGTGCAGCGGATTTGGCTTGCTCTGAATGGCACTGTGTTAGGGAGGAACTTGATTTGCTTTGGACCAAGGATGCCGGGGCTCCAGCCTGGCGTTTTGGGGAGGTGGTCCTGTGAGGAATGCTCACCCCACGTGCCCTGCAGTGTCCTCATTTAAAAAATGGGTAGAACCTACTGTTTCTACCTCCTGGGGTTGCTGTTAGAATATAAGGAGATTTTAACCCATGGGAAGAGCTGAGGACATGCCCGGCCCCCAGCAGGAAGTACCCAGCATCCGTGGGCCATGTTCTTAACCTGAGTTTATCGTCTTCCCCTAGTGGAGGAAGATGCTGCTGTATCCCATCTCGTGATGAGACCTAGAGAACGGAAGGTGTCAACACTGGCATTGTTCAAGGAGGTTGCTGTGTATGGAGATACTTGCATGTTTTAGGATTCTCTCTCTCTCTCTTTTTTTTTTTTTTGAGATGGAGTCTTGCTCTGTTGCCCAGGTTGGAGTGCAGTGGCGTGGTCTCTGCTCACTGTAACCTCCGACTCCTGGATTCAAGCGATTCTCCTGTCTCAGCCTCCTGAGTAGCTAGGATTACAGGCACATGCCACCACACCTGGCTAATTTTCTTTTGTAGTTTTAGTAGAGATGGAGTTTCACCATGTTGGTCAGACTGGTTTCGAACTCCTGACCATGTGATCCACCTGCCTCAGCCTCCCAAAGTTCTGGGATTACAGGCATGAGTCACTGTGCTCAGCCTTAGAATTCTCATTCAGTTAGCATGCAGATAATGCTGACCCTATACGGCTTACAGAATTAACGTTAAAGAGGTCTTAATTTAATGCTAAGTTCTATGTACTATCAATTTCTCTGAAGTAAGATTTTGAAAGGAAAAATTTAGTAGGTTAATTCATCTCTACTGTGTTGAATTCTTAGCTTTCTTTATTCTCTTTCTTTTTAAAAATTCAGTGAGTAGCTGGCATAGGCACAATTTAAATGGCTCAACTATGCTGAACCTTGTACCCAGAGTCAACCAATAAGCCAAGGTCACTTGGGATCCAGGCCAAGAACCCCATTCTCTGTTTGTCACTATGAGCTTAAGATAAAAATTCCTAAGTCCTGTCTAAGCAACAAGGCCTGCAGTCCCCTGTGTATCAAAAGTACTCTTATCATATTGCAAACAACTAACATGCTGAGATGATAAACATCCATAAGCGTGAACTTCCTCCCATATTCTCCGTGATGTCATGGGGCCCTGCTTTCGTATCCGCTTTTATTATGCTCCTGTCCTTTCAAAACAGACTCTGTGCCACAGTGCGACAAAAGCCAGGAAACATCGGCCCTCTGGCAGCGAGATGGAGCTGGAAACAGGGAGCAACTGATAAAGCAGAAACACCTCCAGATGGAGAAGTGAAGAGCCAGTCCTGACACAGCAACTCAGGCTGGCGCCTCGAGATCCGGTGTCCCGTTACGCACACCTGAGGCTCCCGCTCTGCTCCTCTGAAAGTGGAGTTGTTTTCATCAGTGCAGTGGACCCTCCCCATGGAACGTCCTCCAGAAAACACTTCTGAGAGTCTGCTAAGTGCTAAAGATCTAAGAGCCAACAGGCAGGCCGCTGGCCCTTGGGAGAAGACAAGCCGGTGGCAGAAGCCAGCAGCCCTGAACAGCAAATCCGTAACATCTAATCAGCCACAGACTTTGTAGACATTGTTCCCCTAACCTGATGCTCATCAGGGAGCCCCACAGCCACACTTAGTCATGGCTCCATAGGGATGGACGCCCAGCAGCTGGAATTCCTGGCTATGGGTGGAATCATGAGAGACGGCAGGGAACACAGAGTTTGTGCAGAGCGGTGTGGGTCTGACACTCCACCCGAGAGAAGCCCCTCGCCCCACTCATGCCACGCGCTTGGACGTGTTTTAAAATGGGGTTCCGATGCGAAGGCAGCGCTTGCCACGGCCCCTCTCAGTGAATGCCAGAAGTGGAGGGCGGGCTTCTTTCCCTTCTCTGTCGTGATTCAGTCTTCCTGTCACCCCAGCACACCCCTCCCCAGCCCCGGGGAAGCCACTGCCAGGAACCAGCTCCCTGACATACCATAAACAGTCAAACACCGATGACGCTCCCTTCTGCCAGGTCACTGAAATCTTTTCCCTTAATAGACGATCCTCCTCCTCCTGTTGGTAGCAACTCACAGACGCCCAAACACAAGTCAGAAAGGAGCAGAGTCCTCTGAAGTCCCCACAATGGCAAGGCTGAAAACATGCTGAGAGGACCCGTGGGTCACACACACCTGCCGAGCCGAGAGCCAGTGAGAAGCTGGGGTTTGCTCTTGGGCAACTTAACAGCCAAAGACACAGAGGGACCTTGAGACCTTTTAAAGACTCTCTGTCCCTGTGCAGTTCTTCGTGCCTCGTGATGCCTTCATGAGCTACAGGGCTGCTCTCCTTTCTTCTGCAGCAGTCCTGAAGGACTGGACCCTCCTGTCCCTGGGCTGGGAGAAGCACCCTTCAGAGGGGATGAACCTTAAACATTTTTTTTCACACTTTCACCCTCTCAAATCTTCTCATCCTTTCCCTTTATCTTTCTTTTCCATCTTTAGAATGAAGTCTTTGCAAAGGTGGATTTGCTGTATTTGTATCCAGCTTCGATGAGGGCTGTGGCCGTATCTGAGGCTACAGTAAATTGTCCTCTTAGAGCGGGCTGCAGGGGCACCATCGGAACAGAGGTTCTCAGGCTCTGCGAACCAGGGGGCCCATTTATTATCCACTCTACTTGTCACCCACTCTCAAGGATTCAAGCCATGCTGACAACACCATAAACCACCAGCATGAACCTTCTTCCAATCAGTGTAAATAGCGTTACTGTTCGATACCGGGTTAGTTCCAGGATACTTTATGAGTTTATACAGCTTCATTGAGTGCCACTGTTGCGTTTCTGGAATGCTTCTCAAGTGCCACAGACTGCCATCATTTGGATGGTCCAGACCAGCGACTCCTCAGGACCCAGCACCTCTACTTTGCTTCCTTCACTGATTCTCCTCCCACCAAGTTTACTGAGCATCTATTACGGTCCCAGGTATTGTGGTAAGATTGAGGACACCAGGTTCAAAGATCAGATTTCCAGAACTGGAGAAGTTGGGCAAGATGATTGATTCTGGGAGATCCCAGTCTTGGATTAAAGAAGACCTACTTTTGACTCTGTTTTTGTTTTGTTTTTTCCCCTAAATCTGAGGCTTGTAGAGAAAGAGGCTGTGCCACTGGGAGCCGAGGCTGACGGGCACTCTCTCTGGCTAGGTCCTCACAATTGGATCAGAGGCATTAAACTCATTTGAGACTGACCAATCAGGCATCTGGGGTCAGGGACCCCAGTTCCCATGATATTCCTCCCATGAAAAGTGGACGCTACAGAGATTCTAGGTAACTTCCCTAGGTAATATGCAAGCACCGCTGACCCTCCTCCATCCGGGAACCTCATCGTGGTGCTGCTGCGATGACCTGCTGCCCCTCCCACACCTGCCGTCTATCAGAATTCAGTCCTTTTTCACTAAATGATGGTTTTCTGCATAAAAGGTAAAAGAAATCCGCCCGTTTGGCCCATTTAGCATCAAGTAACTGAATTTTCTCTGCGCTCCATCACTCTCTTCATCTCTGAGGTTCATCTCTGTTCTTACAAGATGATAACTTGAAAAAACTTTCTGAAAGAACTGGCCCCATGGTCTCCAGTAAGGATGTTAGGGACCGTCCGCGGAAGGCCTGGGCCTGCAGTACTGAAGGCAGAGGCGTAACTGCCAGCCACAGTCCCTGATTACAATCCCAGAGTACCACTTTCTTCCTTTTATGGGGCATATGGCTCTTCCAAACATTGTCCTGCAGATACTTAAGAAAACAAAACAAAGCCCCAAACAAAACCCCGAGCTTCTTATTACACATGCCTGTGACCTCCAGCTTCAGGGCAGCAGCCAGGCGGTCTTGGCTGTGGGAGCGAACCTGGGAGGGCGGGGAAGAGCAGCCAGACATTTTTTCAGCTTGTGTCTTCAGGGGACAGAAACAAGGCATTCTTTCCCCCTGCAGATCCAGGCTAGCAGCTCAAAAAAACAATCACTCCTTTTCCCAGCTGCGGAGATGGCTGGATTGCCTTGGCTCCCCTAATCTTCCAGATAAACCATCCCTGGGGTCCCGGGTTTAGCTTCTCAGCAGAGGGACAGTGTTTGCAGCCAGTGCTAACTGGGAAGGCCCAGGCCAGCTCCCTCCTGCTCTAGTAGAATTATCTGGGTTCAGAGGGCTCCCTGGAGCCTCAGTGCTCTTCAGGGGGAGCATTTTACGCCCCCCCCAGCCCCACAACGTTTTCCGTGTCTTTTCCCCTAGTTTTAAGAGTTGGCCACATGACTCAGTAACTGTGCCTGTCTCTCTCTCACCATTTTCATTGCGTTTTTGCTCTTTTTGCCAGCTCATGGTGACAGTCACCATCAGAGCCTTGCTAGGGTTCAGAGCCCAATCTCTTCCCATGCAGTCACCGCTCAGTCTTAACAGAAGTCCTCTTTTAAATCAATGGAAGACATTATTTTTCTAAATATTAGAATCAACTAGTGAAGTATTTATAGAATCTAATAAAATGCACATAAAACTGACTCAACAAGGGATCACGAAAAGATCGAGTTTGCAGATCAGCTTAGGATCCCAGTGAGCTGCACGCAGCCTCCTTAACCCACAAAGCACCAGGAGCAGGAACTTCAAGATTTTGGTACCGTGCTGTTTACTTTTGAAGCGTGCTCACTTAGTGGGCTACATGTAATCTTCACAAGTATCCATGCTCTCTTTATTTTTGACAGTTAAAAAGTGTTTGCTTTTCCCAAAGCCGTCCTGAGAAATGTCTTGGGGACACAGGCACACACAGCAGAACCTGCTGCAGGGACTTCCCTGGGACAGGCAGACTTCAGATGCGTAGAGCCTCCAGCACCGTGTCGGAGGCTACTTTCGGTCAGCAGTGGAGTAGGAACTTCTGGATAGCAAGAGTGTGGCTAAGCGGGGACATGAGCCTAAGCCTTCAAGAGTCCCTGGACTGACCATGGACCATGCTTTGTGAATTCCAAGGCAACCCTCTCTGACCCCACTACCAGCACATCCGCCCTCAACGCTGGTCCAATCTCACTTCCACTCCCTATCGGGGCTCCCTGCCCATGCTGCTCTGGCTCGAGCCTGGCAACAGCTTCCAGCCCTGGCAGATGCTGCTGGACCACTTCCTGCGCCCATCACTCTGGACTCCCCTGTCCGTCAGCTGTTGAGTCCTCGCTGGCACTTACTGGTTAGGACAACCCATTTTAAATCTTACGTTTATGATCACAAACAACAGGGTCCAGTGTCTTTCATACAGGGTACAGTGTTCTCAACAGAATATTCTGTTAAGACCGAGCAGTGACTGCACGGGAAAAGATTGGGCTCTGAACCCGGCAAGCGGTTTCCAAACTCAGCTGGTGATCAGCATCTTGCCGGGTGTTTCTGAAACTTCTGGCGCCCGTACCCCACTCCAGAACTTCGGATTCAGAGTGACAGGACTGCATCTGTCACTGCCCGACAGGCTTAGGGATCTAATGCACTGAGCATATATTATACATCCTGTGTGTACAAAACAGCAGCAGCACCCACACACAAGTGTAGCCTCTTTTCCTTATTTCCCCTCATTGATCCTGGGAACACTGAAAATGGCACTGCTAACCAGTGCGGCACCCAGAGCAGCACCTGGGAACTTCTGATGTAACCTGTATAGGAACCGGTGTGCGCGCCCCATGAAGGAACACAGAGGTAACCCAGGCCGCCTGGGAATGGATGCTGTGGAGTGAATGCTAGAGAATGCAATGACTCTTCCCATGAACTGCTTCAGAGGGAGCAGAGGACGAACTGCCTCTGCTGGAGGCTTCCAAACAGCTTTGCTGCTGACCAGCCAAAGCTTCAGGAAGAAGGCTCTGGGGCCAAGGCTCTGTGAATAATACATTCAAACATCTTCGGGAAGGAAGCTCCCAGATAAGCCGCTTGCCACCCCTGAGGTCCATGTCCTGCCTCCGATATTCCTCCAGCAAACCCTGATGCAGAAAAAAAGGGACCCCTTTTCCCCAGGAAAGAGAACAATGGTATGTTTAACTCTTTTCTCCACGACATAGTCCTTTACAGATAAAATGAGGCCAGGTCGTGGCAGGGATCAGAAAGCAGGCCCAGCCCTGGGCAGTGTGCAGGAGCCCTCCTCAAATGGCAGCTATTGTTACCCCACTTCCCAGGCCTCTTCTGAGATGCATTTTGTTTTATGGACCCTATAAAAACCTACTTGTTCAACTTCATTTTGATATTCACTTCCCATTTCTTAAAAATTCATCTATTTTCATGAAAAGCACCATTGTATTCAACTTTCCGAGAGCAGTGCCATTATGATTCCCGGAGTGTTCATGAAAAATCGGTTATGCTTGACACAATCAGACATGTTATCAAAGACAGCCATCAGAACATTTTCCAGGAAAAGAGGAAATGGCCTGCTCTTCATTAATTCCCTGCTTCAGTGTGCTAGAGCAGCAGAGAAAATAGTTCAAAATAGCTGAGACCAAAGAAAGTTAAAAATCAAAAAACTCCCAAGAAGATACATCGAGGCAAATGTTTGTAGTTTTTATTTTCACACGTGTCAGCTCTGAGTGGAAGGTGGTTAGAAGTGACATGGTGGCTGTCCACAGGAGACTGGATGAGTCTGCATTGCTAACAAGCTCACGAGAGTCTTCTTTTTGCAAAGCACACTACAGGGGAGCAGACTTCCAGGATCTCGTGGAGACTTTGAACAGCATGTGCCTCAGCTGCCTGTTTCCCACCCCTGCTTCACAAACGCAGCATGAAGATACTGAAATAGTGTATGTGAAGTAGTTTAAACTCCATAGAAGAAAGGCATCATATAAATTTGAACCCAGAATTTTATCTTCCTCATTTTGAGAGTAAAATGTCACCACCTTGGAGATGGGTGGCCAAGCCCTGGCATGTGATGGGTCTGGATCAGCCAGTGTGCACATTGGGACCAGAAACTGCAGCTTGGTCACCACTTTGGACACCAAGGGAGCTGTATTAGTCCATTTTCACAGTGCTGATAAAGACATAGGCAAGACTGGGTCATTTGGGTTATTTATAAAGAAAAAGAGGTTTAAAGGACACAATTCCATGTGGCTGGGGAGGCCTCACAATCATGGCAGAAGGCAAAAGGCATGTCTTACATGGCGGCAGGCAAAAGAGAACAGGAGCCAAGTGAAAGGGGTTTCCCCTTATAAAACCATCAGATCTCGTGAGACTTACTCTACCATAAGAACAGTATGGGGGAAACCGCCCCCATGATTCAATTACCTCCCATCAGGTCCCTCTCAAAACATGTGGGAATTAAGGGAGCAACAATTCAAGATGAGATTTGGGTGGGGACACAGCCAGACCACTTCAGGAACCTCCGCTGAAGTGCTACAAAGAGAACTCAGGGGTTGCCTGTGTTGGAGACACAGTTGCAGGCAGTGGGGCCCCAGTGGGCTCCTGCTCCAGAGGAGGCCAGTGGACTCCCAGCCACAGGATCAATTAACAGGACCCATGAAGGCCTGCACCTGAGCACAGAGGGCCGAGGGTAAGCCCAGGGATGAGAAGTGTGACACAGGCTGGGGGGTCAGCCTCTGCAGAGGGCAGAGGCCCAGGGATCAGGGCAGCAGCTCAGGTGAGGAACAGACAGACAGTTGAGGTCACCTGGAGTTGGGCCCCTGGCTCCTTATCTTCCTCCTCCCTGGACTGAAGACGGGCTGTGTGGATCCGACTGTGCTGAATCAGACGGAGAGGTGAAGCGGCCCTCCTCCAGGCAGGGGACATTCAGCATCTCTCCCTGGTCTTTTCTCTTGCACTTCTCTCTATATAACTCAGGTTACACTTCCTACATAATCTTGGATCTTTACTTTGTTTTAACACCAAGTATTTCTCCATACTCCTAAATGCTTTGCATAAAAAAAGCATTCTTATATCCTGGCTGCATAACATTTGTTCTTGAGAAAGCACTGGAATTTTCTTGACCTGTCCCACAAAATCCTGCATGGAGGCTTTTCCAAGTTGCTTAGATTATAAATCCACATGGTAAGAAGCAAATATGTTCAGCTCATAAACATCTTGACTAAGTGTGCCATGACCACGATAGGTACGAAGGAAATGGAATGAGTTTCTGCTTGGGAACGGAAGCCAGCTCCCAGGTGCGAAAGCTGGATTTTAGTAGAAACGAGCATGAACACTCTCCCTGGAATGTGGCCATGGATCTGCTCCGCAGGCAGACAGCTACTCTGTGGTCTAATCTAAAGGGAGACTCTGGGACAGAATCCTTAGGGCTTGTGCAGGCACTTGCGACATGCAGATGGTGGCGGTGCTTATAACGGGTTAATGCGGGCCACATCCGCTGTGCTTGATAAAGGAACAGACAAACAAAGCTGAGCCAGTCCTGCTGAATCTCTAGGCTAGGAGTCATGGCTCCCAAGAAGGCCTTTTTACTGCCCAACCTAAGGGCATACACCACTCAGCCCCAAAGAGAGGCACTGACCGCACATCACGTTGTGCATTTTTATCAAACGCCTCTGTGTTCAGGCTGTGTCCAGGCACCTGGGACACAGGTCGCTCCTGTCATGGGACCCTCGCCCTCAAAGGAAGCACGGTCACCACCATCCAGCCGAGCTCAGCAGGAGCATGGGGCTAGCACCGGAGTTCGGCTGCATGGACAGTGCCAGCCCCCGCCTTTCTAGACTCAGTTTCCCTGTCTGTGAGATGAGGATGACATCAGTTCTTATCTCAGAGGGTTAATGCAAAGGTCACCTGAGGTCACTCGTGTAAAGTGCCTTGCCCGGGACCTAGATCGTAATAAGAACTTGTCATACATGGCAGGAACTCTTATTATTTATCATCGTAACTGTACAGCAAAACAGATGGGACTGCCCAAGGCCCCGAATAAAAGCACAGAAACATGGCAAGGAGTTCAACTTGCAGAGGGGGCAGTCGGGTCCCGACAGGAAAGGTCGTACGTGACTGGGGTGTGGGAGCAGGACGCAGCTTGTGGACGGTCCTGTTCCCATCTCAGGTTCAGCAGGCGGTAGCCAGAGGACACCTCAGTCAGGAGCCATCTGAGGGAACTTACACAACGTTTGGAGAAGAAAAAGTGCTACAAGAAATCACCCTGTGAAGAGAATTAGAGAAGGGATGGGCGAGGAGAGGCAGCCCTGAGGTACCAGGACACACCCCCTTGCAGAAAGCAAAGCTGCTTCTCAGTGTCACAGCAAACAGCTGGGAGGGCCTGGCTTGGACGAAGCAGGTGGGATGTGGAATTGACACCAGGTCCCAGGACATTGGGGCTACATGGGGAGTAGACCTCCTAATGTTTTCCAAGAATATGGAGGCGGAAGCATCTCAGATTTCATTAATGAAGAGTAAGTAGTGGGCCTTCTCCGATGATGAGAGGTACAGCTCCAGGCAGGCAGTGTTCAAAGAGCCGCATTTCCAAGTGACAGAGCCAGGGGCCTTCAGGTGGTCACCACACCCCTGGAGGGGGCATCAGTCAAGGTCGGAAAGAGGGCTGGAGCAGTGGTTTTCTTTCACAGTCAGGAACATCTCCTTAGCATGATGGGACTGACCGTGGGCACAGCTGCAGCCCCTCACCCTCCACCCTCTCCAGTAGCAAGCCTGGCGGCCTGCAAGGACTCAGGGGGTTGGGATGCCGCAAGCACTTGCTGCTTGATGGCTCAGATACGACTTACATCATGGGGATTTGGGCTTCTAGAAATATCACGATGTGTTCAGGTTATGAAGGACTTTGACTGAGCTCAGCAGTGAGCTTCACCATTCCTCAAAGTAAGTGTGCATTTGAGAATACTGTGGATGTATGCATAGGTGACAAGCTGGTTACTAAGGAAGCCAGGTACTACTGGAAGGACTCCCTGGCCACCTTTCAACATAGAACTTTTTTTTTTTTGAGACGGAGTTTCACTGTTGCTACCCAGGCTGGAGTGCAATGGCGCGATCTCGGCTCACCGCAACCTCCACCTCCTTGGTTCAGGCAATTCTCCCACCTCAGCCTTCTGAGTAGCTGGGATTACAGGCACGTGCCACCATGCCCAGCTAATTTTTTGTATTTTTAGTAGAGACAGGGTTTAATGTTGACCAGGATGGTCTCGATCTCTTGACCTCGTGATCCACCCGCCTCGGCCTCCCAAAGTGCTAGGATTACAGGCGTGAGCCACCGCACCTGGCCTCAACGTAGAACTTTTAAGGATGGCAACATATGGTAGAAACACAGAAGGGGATTCCTGTATTAAAGGTTAACGCAGTGAAGTCTGCAGGAAGCCGTATTTCTGTGTGCCCAACTTCTCTCTTCTATCCGCCTGTGCTTGTTTTTTTAGGAACATCACACACCACCATCAACCGGCAAACTCAGGAGGACAAAACGGGAGAAGAGGGAGAAACTGCGGTAGAAGAAGGTGCTGTGTGTGGGAGCCACCCTGTCCGTCACGGCAACAGGAGAAGCAGGAACCTGTCACTGTCACTGTCACTTCCTCCCTGCTTTACATCCCTCTTGCAGTTGAATCTCTGACCAAAACCTCATTAAAGACGAGGAGGACTTCGAAAATTGTTTCCCATGGCACTTTCCATTCAAAGATGGTCCAGAAAGCTCTTTCGGAGATCCCACGATTTAAAAAGTGAGCTTGGGTTCTGCAAATAGCTTACGTAGGTTCCAACATGCATATCAAAACTTTGGTGAAGTCTACTTAATGTGTACTTGGCTAATAAGCCTTTCTTGATTCAACATTGCTAGTCTATTTCTAGACACTATAGTAAGTCAAAAAAAGAAAAAAGGATAAGGACAAAAAAGACGTAAAAGCATCATTATTTGCAGATCACATGATTTTATATGAAGAAAACACAACAGATCTATTGCAAAATTTAGAATTAATGAATGAATTTGGGAAAACACTAACCATAAAATATTGATAAATTGGATGACAATAAAATGTAGGCATCAGCTTGTTGGGCATCATTAAGACAGAGAAGACAAGCCACAGAGACAAAAAGGTCTTTGCAAGACAAGTAACCAAAGGGAGGACTGTACTGAGAATATGAAGAGTTCCCAAGTGCGAATGGACACTGACACCCAGCAGAAAAATGGGCACAAGGCTGGAGCTGGCAGATCACGGAGAGAATATCCAAATGGCCAGCAGATCTCTACAAAAGTGCTTGACCTCACTAGGAATCAGAGAAAGGCAAACACTGGGACAGCAAATACAAGATAGCACATTCTTGTGTTGGCTGCTTTGAGTCGGTGTTTGGAATCTCGCTCCCATCTCTCCTACTGCCCTTGGTCTTAGGAACTTGGCTTTGTGGCTGTGAATGATTTGAATCAAAAGCTGCCGGGTGTCTGTGAGCACATCACTCTCCCCACCTCCCACGGACTCTCGGGCCTGTGAGTGCACCTCCTTCCCCACCTCCTGGCACCATGGAAGTCAGCAGTGCAGTAACAACAGTCAGGCATGAGTGTGTATGGGCCTAGGCAGCCGCGGCTGACTGCCCTCCTGGCTGCAGGATTTCATCGCTGTTGAGGTGAACAAGCTGGAGACATTAGGACTCATCCTCTCTTTCCAACAGCAAGGAAATCTCAGATACGTCAAAGGAAAACAACTGCAGAAAACATATTACGGGGATTTGGGATATGTTTTCTACCTATCAAGTAATCTTGTTCTTGCCCCACTTTGAATGACTCTCAAGTAATTGAACTGTAATATATGGCTTTCACGGTCCTGTGCAATGGCCCGGTACTGACGCACGATTTTATTTGCATATTTTAAGACCAGTATAAAATGTTCACGCTGGTTTTTGGAGGATGGTAAGAGCATTGTGATCTTTCTAGAAGAAAATTATATCAGGAAATTTCCTTTCTTACTTTTTTTTTTTTAAGCTGCATGGAAAGAAAAAAATATTACTGACCCGAAGAGAATCAAAACACCCAGCGTTTATTTAAGCAGTATTTCATGAGTAGCAATGGCATGGTGAGGTCGGGAAGACGGGAGACACACCATAGAGGAATGTGGGGGGGACGTCTCCCCAGCAGCCTAACAGCCTGATTACCAAACTATTTAGAGAGGAACCACTCAGCCAAAATAGGTCAGAACAGGCAACTCGGGGCTGGCAGTTACTGCTAGAAAACTCTTCTTAATTGCTGTTTTGGAAACTAATTGCTCTCAGCAAAAAGTATCTAGTAGGAGGTCTTTCATTCAAAAGAGAAGGCCAAGTCAGTCCTGCTGCATGTAGGTGCAGCCTGGGAAGGCACCGCCGGCAGGGGACCACATGGTGCCCCGCGGACCGGAGGGGCGTTTTCAAGAGGAGAGGTAGCCAGACACTGGACACTTGGACAAACAAAGTGCTGCACTCCGCTTTGAACCATAACAGAGTCCCAGAAATACTGGCCTGAGGAGGTTTTATCCTCTTTTCAGAGTTGCTTAGATGAATTGTGAACAGGCAGATGGGGCGTTTCAATAGACTTCAGGGGATTTGCCCCAATCGGACTGACATTCTGGATGGGAAGAGCTCTGGAGCTGGGACTGTCCCCCCGCCTGCGCCCCACATCTCCTGGCTTCATTCCGACCCGCCACCCACCTACACAATGAAGCCACCAAGTAAAACATCATGTTACAGCAGTATCTTTCCACACTTGCCCTGAAACCTTACCCCTTCTAATCGCTGACACGTCAGTTGTCTGCTTAGTGACCGTTATAATACCAAAAATTCCTTTATTTAGCCTGCTTGAGATGAAGTCATGCAGCTGTGAGAGTGACTTGCAGAACAAAATCGAGTTCTACTCTCAGTTAAAGGGGGGGGCCATGGGAAGCCTCAAGTCCCAATGGTAAAACTCAGTCTCTGTAACTTTCAGCAGAAAACTGTCTCAGCGCTTCCCAATTTTCAGAAGAGTAATTTGTATTTATCAAAAAACAAAATGCACGTAGTATTCAATTGGTAGCTTAAAGACATGTACTGGCCGGGCACAGTGGCTCATGAGGTCAAGAGATTGAGACCATCCTGGTCAACCAGGTGAAACCCCGTCTCTACTAAAAATGCAAAAATTAGCTGGATATAGTGGTGCACACCTGTAATCCCAGCTACTCGGGAGGCTAAGGCAGGAGAATTGCTTGAACCCAGGAGGCGGAGGTTGCGGTGAGCCAAGATCGCGCCATTGCACTCCAGCCTGGGTAACAAGAGCAAAACTCCGTCGCAAAAAAAAAAAAAAGACATGTACTTATTGAATCTGTCACACTTGGCTTTGCTCTTTAAACAGATGAAGTTGGCTTCATCATACCGTATTCCACTGCGTGTACCATCTCCTCCTTCACCCGCTGGAACGATGCACTTTGCTGGGTGTGCCGCACCATCACCGGGCGCTTTTCTCTCCTCCCGCCAGCACCATGGTTATAACCTTCCTCTGCCTCTTTCCTGGGGTGGCTGAGAATACCAGATGGATGCATCCACCGAAGTACTTCAGACAGAGCTGTGTGGACCTGGACTAATTCGCTTGGGACAAACGCTTTAAGTAAAAGGAAGTCACGGTCCCAACACCAGCTCTTCACAAACCAGAGCCCTCAGGCATGTTATTTACTCCACTGGCATTTTTCTTTGTCTGCACTTGGTATGACCGCACCTGTGCCCTCTATTTCCAAGGATTCTATGCGGATGAAGTGAGATAACACTTAGGAAACTTGTCTTTGACAAAAGCAAAGAAACCACAACAAATATAAGACACCCACCATGAGGGAAGAAGGTAGGAATGTTCTGTGGTACCGAGGGACAATTAGACACCTTCCCCTGCAGGATGCCCACCGCGGGCTGGCTCCATCTTCCTTCTCCAGCTCCAGAACCACTGCAGCAAGTGTGTTTTCTCTTAAAGTGCGTATTCAAGGTGAGTTCGTGCGATGGTGGGGTGGTAGATGGTCTCAGAGGTGTACTGAGAATGTAAGAGTGACTGCAGTGGTGTCTCACATTATTTCAAAATGAGCGTCTCTTTTTTTTTTGAGACGGAGTTTTGCTCTTATTACCCAGGCTGGAGTGCAATGGCGCGATCTCGGCTCACCGCAACCTCTGCCTCCTGGGTTCAGGCAATTCCCCTGCCTCAGCCTCCTGAGTAGCTGGGATTACAGGCACGTGCCACCGTGCCCAGCTAATTTTTGCATTTTTTTTTAGTAGAGATGGGGTTTCACCATGTTGACCAGGATGGTCTTGATCTCTCGTAATCCACCCGCCTCGGCCTCCCAAAGTGCTGGGATTACAGGCGTGAGCCACCGTGCCCGGCCCCGAACATCTCTTTTAAAACGTTTGCATTAAAAAAATCCAGTACCCCAAATACTGAGGTAACAAGCGACTTGCTTAAAGGTCTAAACTTTCCCATTCATCTACTTCTTCATTTTGTTCAGATGAGCGTGTTTTCTATTTCCTTATCTGACTATGGCTCGAAACACATCATGCTAAAATAGAAGAATTTATTTTTCACCAGAATACCGGAACCTCAAAGAAGTATGAAGCTTGTTCCATAATGTAGTTCTACAAAGTGCAATGGGCTTTGGCCTGGTAGAAGGTTGTTCCTCATTTCCAAAACAGGCTTTTAAAAACAGTGAGTCATGTAATTTTCTCAAAAAGTGATCTAATATCTAAAGTGATTTAGTTAGTGAATTAGATGACAGCATGAGTTTATCACAACTACCATGGAGTAGGGCCCCATGGCAGTCTTGGACCTGCCAGGATCTCAGATCCACTAGGCCCTGCTGCTGGGTGGCAGGCGGGCTCTGTCTGCTCTGCGACCCCGGCTCAGCTTCACAGGAGTCTGGGCCAGCTGGTCTAGGACGAGTCCTTCACAGAACAACGTCCATATCTACCATCCTTGGCACCACACAGTCGTTGAATTAAATGTGCCCAGCAGCCACTGGGCTAAATTTATCAGTGCCATCGATCTCTTCTGAAAAGGGCAATGTTCTATTTTCATATTTCTCGAAACCAAGGGATGAGACAGAGAAAGACAGGACAATGCTCGATGGACGCCTATCTCAGCCTGCACCTCACCTGCGTCAGCTAACAGTGAGCTTGCCTGCTGGGTTCTCTCTTCTTCCATGCTAAGCCTGAGTGGAAAATATTCCTAATTTTATTTAATGTTGGAAAGATTTAGATTGAACAGAAAAAAAAATCTGAATTGGAAAAATTTGAAAACAGAAACAATGTTTAACTGATTTTTTTAAAGATTCCAACAATTGAGCAAGGAAAGCATGGTCGTCCAACAGAGCTCTTCAGGACAGATCAAACAAATTCGTAACATTTATCAGGAACGTTTGATTTTTGCCCACAAGTGTTCCAGAAGTTCCTTAAGAAGATTTTTTCTTTTTTTTTTTCTCTCCGAGACGGAGTTTTGCTCTTGTTACCCAGGCTGGAGTGCAATGGCGCGATCTCGGTTCACTGCAACCTCTGCCTCCTGGGTTCAGGCAATTCTCCTGCCTCAGCCTCCTGAGTAGCTGGGATTACAGGCACGCGCCACCACGCCCAGCTAATTTTTTGTATCTTTAGTAGAGACAGGGTTTCACCATGTTGACCAGGATGGTCTTGATCTCTTGACCTCGTGATCCACCCGCCTCGGCCTTGCAAAGTGCTGGTATTACAGGCGTGAGCCACCGCGCCCGGCCAAAGATTTTTTCTTAAACAGATTATATTCCTGACCAACTTTTCCAGAATATTAATTTAATTGACGGTTCCTTCTTGTCTACAGTTTACTGTAAAGTCAGAATGATTAGTCTTGATTTATGAGGTTTATGGTAAATGATTTTGAGTCAATAGTTCTGTTCATCACTTCATCACTTAAAAAACTGTTTCCTACATAATTTTAGGAAAATTACTTAGACTCTACTGAGACTATGAGAAATGAATCATTTGCTGTATGTGACCAAGAAATTGCAAAGCTGTTTATCATGACAACTTTGCTTTAAGAGTTAACTTTTAAAAGATGATTGAGCAAGTGCTAAAACTTCCTTCGCTCAGGACAACTGCCTTAACTAAGGAGGAAAACAACATTAGCTGGGGTGTGGGCCGCAGCAGGAGAACTATTTCTCTGGAGCTGTTGGGGGAATTTTAACGCTTCGCTGACACCCACAGAATGAATTTCGCTCCTAAAACAACACAAGCTGACTACTGCAAGCTGAATTTCTTTGTTTTCCCAACACCCCACCCCCAATCTCTTCACTATAGAAAGACAAACACTTAAAAACCATCTGGGACTATTTAAGAGAATCGCGATAAAGCACATTCAATTGCTGGTCTTTTAATGACAAGAGTGGAGTGTAAAATGCAGGGCTATATTTCTGAGATTGACCTGCTGGGAGGGCTGGTTGGGTGGTGCAGGTGGTATCACAGATAGTGTTTTGGATGGAATCAAATGTGGTCTCAGATGCCAGGAGAAGTTTGTCTGAAATACCCAGAGTGGGCGATTGTACGTGCTGAGCTCTGGGGGGTCGGGGAGGACCCTTGGGAAGGGCAGGAAGCAAGCCAGTGGAGAGGTAAACAACCCAACCAGAGTGACTGGTGAGACTGAAATTCCAGGTGTGGGGGCCCCCTGGGAATCATGAGCCAGGGAGGAAACAGATGTGAGAGTGTGTGTGCTGGGGACAGGCCAGCCTAGGTCAGCACCTTAGAGCTGGAGCAGGGGCGAGTATGTGCTGGGGACAGGACAGCCTGGGTTAACACCTTAGAGCTGGCGCAGGGGTGAGTGTGTGCTGGGGACAGGCCGGCCTGGGTTAACACCTTAGAGCTGGTGCAGGGGTGAGTGTGTGCTGGGGACAGGCCGGCCTGGGTTAACACCTTAGAGCTGGCACAGGGGTGAGTGTGTGCTGGGGACAGGCCGGCCTGGGTTAACACCTTAGAGCTGGTGCAGGGGTGAGTGTGTGCTGGGGACAGGCCGGCCTGGGTTAACACCTTAGAGCTGGCACAGGGGTGAGTGTGTGCTGGGAACAGGCCGGCCTGGGTTGACACCTTAGAGCTGGTGCAGGGGTGAGTGTGTGCTGGGGATAGTCTGGCCTGGGTTAGCTCCACAGAGCCGGGGCAGGAGCGGTATGTACTGGAAATGGGCAGAGGGATCTGGGTTGTGACTCTAATTGAATATTACTTAAAACTCCTGGAGATAAGAGGAGGGGACATATTAAACAGGCTTATCAGGAAGCCAAGCTTATTGTCTATCCTTGATCCGGACTTTCAGGTCACAAAGTGGTCACGTTCTTGAGCGGGCGGGTGACTGCCATCTGAGACCCTGTGAGCTGCTCTGATGTTGGGAACCAACCCCACACTCAAGGGAAGGCTGTGCTGTCCACAGGCTGGAAACAGATTAGGAATTAGATGGGATGTAGGGGGTTCCACTGGGCACCTCCCCACCAGACGAGGAGTCACTGATAAGGCAGGGGCAGCAGGAAGGGCCCAGCATGTCCCCTCTGTGTGACCGCGTCCTGAAGGCTGCAGGGCCTGAGATGGGCCCCAGTATGCTGGGGTGAGTGACAGCTCAAATGACAGATGTCCTCAAACAGCCTGTTTCCACAATTCCTGGGGCCTGTGACATGCTGAGGGAAAGAGAGACTGAAGAGCTATCTCTGTCTTGAAACACTCTGGGGAGTCCCTGCCAAGACGCAGTGACTCAGGGGAGCAGAAGGCTATGAGCTGCCACTAGGGAGAGGGACACAGGAGGCTGAGGTTCAGGTGGGTGAGGGGAGAGGGGAAAGGGCAGGAACTGGGTGTTTATTTTACGCCAGAACCTGTGGGTAAGTGCCTTATATACACTGTGGAATTTATTTCTACCAGCAACTTGCTGAGGGAGGATTATAAATTCATCTCACGGGGAATGCATTTTCCAATAAAAAAAATTCAGATCTCCTCCCAGGTTCCGCAGGGACTGATGCAGACAGACTTGAACTCTGAGGTGGAAGCTCCTCACCCCTTGGCAAAGGGCAGGTGCCACCTGAGTTCTGAGCAAATGACTTAAAATGAAATTCGGGGCTGGGCTTGGTGGCTCATGCCTGTAATTTCAGCACTTTGAGAGGCTGAGGTGGGAGGATCACTTGAGGTCAGGAGTTCAAGACCTCAGCTTGGCCAACATGGTGAAACCCTGTCTCTACTAAAAATCCCCCCAAAAATTAACTGGGCGTGGTAGCAGGTGCCTGTAGTCACAGCTATTTGGGAGGCTGAGGCAGGAGAATTGCTCGAACCCAGGAGGTGGAGTTTCAGTGAGCTGAGATCTCGCCACTGCACTCCAGCCTGGGCGACAGAGTGAGACTCCATCTCAAAATAAAAAAATTAAAAAAAAAAAAGAAATTTGGGAACAGGACACATTCACAACGCAGGGAGTGCCCGTTTCTCCTGCTTGACAATGCAGAAAGCAAAGTGCAGCTTCCGTGTCCCGAAGGGAAGGGCAGCACCTACCAGGGCGCGGAATCTGAGAAGACGACAGAAAGGCCAACGTGATGTGAGGGTTAGAAGCCTCCGGTGACCAAGCAGCCTTAGAACGTGTTCAAGCCCAGGATCCTTTACCCTGGTCACTGATCTCCTAGTACGATTTCCCTGGGAGACACTTCTAGGATATATCTGGGGACTTAACCTTTGCTTTTTATCTCTAATATGCGGTTTCTTTCATGAAATTTTGCAAAGGACTCTGACTGACAGATGTTTTAACTAGAGCCCATCAGTGCATGGCTGACCATCACCAGGGAGAACCAGGTATCACTCCAGGAGAAACATGGCTGCCTTTAGCAGCTTAGGAAGGTAACAGGTTCGGGGGAAATGTGCTTTCGACTTCATTCCAAAGAGAAAAAAATCTTTGGTTAAACTCTCCACGAAGCATGAGTCTCACTTTCTGTTTCTGATTATTGGTTCTAAATGCTTATTAAAAATGTATCGATTTCCCATTATTATGATGTGTACATGTGGCTTAAGCCTTGTTAAAAGGCTGAGCTGAGATGGATGGTGTGAGAGAGCCCATTTTTGGGGGGATGCATACGTTTTCATCCAGTTGGTGATGATGCCCCTTCTCCCCATCCTCGTGCCTGTGAAAGGCTGCTTTTGCTATGCTCAGGGTCAAACCTGCTCTTTCACATGACAGGGTCCTGGAAGGCTCAGTCCCACAAGTCAAAAGACAGAGAGCTTTGCAAATGAGAAATTCCTCAACGCTTCTGAAGAACCAATAGATGAAAATTATCTTTCCCTTACCCAATTCCTAAACCATGCCTGTATCAGCAGGCAAGTATAGGGTGATCTTCACGGCAATTTAAAGATTGGCGGGAGATTCCAGGGGCCAGCAAGCCCCTGGTTACACATTTTTCTGATTGCTAGAAAACAACCATTCAAGGGAGAAACAATCCCGAGGCCGTCTTCTAGGACCTGCTGCTCACTGCAGCCCCCTGGGCAGTGGCACCACCATCACCTGGTAGCATTCGGAATGCAGAGTCCCAGGCACCCCAGACCTGCCTGATCCAAGTAGGCGGAGTCAAACGTGCACCAGCTGGGGCAGTGCTGTTCAGACCCATCTCTTCCGACCCCCGGCCAGGACTGGGCTTTGTGTCCATTGTGCTTTCTCATGCATTTAGGCAAAGAGACCTCCCTTCCCAGGCAAGCTCCTTCCTCCAGTGACCTCAACATCAAGAGCCCAGCAGGACAGAGCTCAAGGAGTGAGTCCAGTTATCACCCACCAGTGGGTATTGGTGGGCAGTGACCACTACATCCAGGGACTGTGTGGTTTCGGCCACCAGACAACCTTCCACTTTCTTACCCTTGAGGTCCATGAAGCTGAGTTTCTGGGAGTGCAAAGAAGGCCACGGGCCAAACTGCCTGCCCTGAAGAAAAGCACAGCTCAGCTCATAGACTGCTCACTGGCCAAATGCCTGGCTTCCCTTTGGGTTGAAGCTCAAGAAAAAAAGAAGCATGCTATGAAATTGAAATAGTTTGGCACTCTGTCTTGCAGTTGAAGCATATTTTGCATTAGTTTGACTTTGCAGATAAGCCAATGCTGTCTACCCAGTAGTTTTTAGACAGTAATTCTAATCAAGTGAAACCAATGAGAGAGGAACCTTCAGTTGACCCAAGGTGCACATTTTTGAGGGCCATGCTCTTTGCACTGAGCATAATGATTTGTGCTGTGATTCTGAACAAAAAGTCCCCAAACCACTTAGCTTCGGTCCTGGCCAGGAATCTTGCCTTTCCCTCTCTCTTTCCTCCCACTAGCTCTGTCTATTGTGTGGCTGAGACTCCAGCTGCTACAGCAGATGCCCAGCTGGGCACTGGGGGCAGCGTGCCCCTGGCTTGGTCCCCGTCCTCAGGGAGCCACCTGAGGCCTGTGCTTAGGTGTGGTGGGGAAGAGGAAGCCCCTTTCCTTTGGAATTTTCTTACTTCACCTGTGGCTGCCCTCATTGTATGCAACACTGCGGGCAGCAGGTGGGGGAGGCTGCTGCTGGGGATCCTACATGCTCTCCCTGTCTAGGAGAGGTGCCCGTGGGCCAGCCCGCAGCTTCCCAGACTCATTCTCTTCAGCTGCAGGTTTTACAGAGACATCATACTTAGCATGACTAACTCAAAAAACATAAGAGCAAACAGCAAGACGGGCATCTGGAATCCACAGGAGGCCCTCATCCCGAAGCCTGATGTCATCTCCTGCGAGGGGCTGCCCGCGGATGCTCTCCTCCCCCCAGGCATCAGGGCATCACCTGGTGAGAGCGCCCTGACCACAGAGGGCACAACAGAAATTCCAGAGTCATGAGTGGGCCTCTGATGTCCAGTCATAGGAATGCAGGGCAGTGGGGCAGACCCTTGAACTCGGGGAAACGTAGCCCCCCACCCCTGCGGTTTGGACTTCCAGGGGACTGATGCCTCTCCTCAATCAGCCACAGGTTTTCATAGACTCAGCGGATCCACAGCTTTGTCCACCTGCCCCTCCTAGACTGTGCAACAGTGCCTTGGCTGGGGTGGTTGTGACAGCCAGTGCTGGGGGTCACGCCAAACCCTTCGAAATGTAAAAAGGAGATGGAAACCCACCCTTCGTTAGCCTGCTTTGGGCATCTGCCCTCCTGCTCCAGCTGACCTGTCTCGGGTGGCCTCAGAAGCCTCTGATCATGCTGCCAGCTGCCTTACAGAGAAACCTTAACTATCTTAGGGTTCCTGCGAAAGAGTTAAGTAACACGTTTATTTAATGAACTCCTTATGGCACCTACGTGAAGGTCCCTGTGCTGTGGGAGGGCCTGGTGATGAATAAGCCAAGTCCCAAGCCCACGGCAGCCTGAACTCTAGCAGGGAAGGAGAAGGGCAGCGACCAGAGGTGGACACTGGCTCCCTGTCTCCACCTCCATCTTCTGACCCCGGTGCTACTGGAGGAGGGGATGCTGGTGACTGTCAGTTTGGTGAAGCCATGGGGAAGACCTAGGCCTGCCCCTGACCACAGCCTCCTTTTGGGGCTCACAGCTCCTCCCAGGGTTCCCCATATGTCTTCTTCCCTTGTCGCGATGTGTCCACCCCCTCTCCTCCTCCTGAGGAATCTCACGCACTCTGGGGCTTTAGGAACTGTTCTAGCTCTGCTGCCTGCACCTGTATGGGCAACCCAGGCCTCGCTCACTGGCTTCCCACTCAGACACCCAGTTTCTTCCTGGGCAGCTTCCCATCCCTGTCCCAGAGGAAAACAGCTCAGTGCAGCCCAAGCCAACCTCCTTTGGAAGAGTGGTGAACCTTTACCAGAGAGCAAAACAAACATCAAGAGGAGAGGCATAGGCAGGTGGCCTCCGAGGGACAGAGAGGCAGGCGGCCTCCGAGGGGCAGAGAGGCAGGCCAGCCCCAGGCTCCCTTTCCCACTGCCCCTTCATCTGGAGCTGGGTCTCACAGGCCATTTCCTAAACCTGTTTGATTTGCAATGCCTGACATTAACCCACTGAAACCTGTCAACTAAGGACACTAAACTGAGTTTGAAAGTAAGAGCTTTAGAAGTATAGCCATGTTACTGAGGTTTAAAGGAAGGAAATTCTGCCCTGTGCTGTAACTGGATATACCTTCAGGACTCATATGGTTTGGCTCTGTCCCCACCCAAATCTCACCTTGAATTGTAATAATCCCCACATGTCAAAGGTGGGGCCAGGTGGAGATAATTGAATGATGGGGGTGGTTCCCCCATATTCTTCTCATAATAATGAGTTCTCATGAGATCTGATGGTTTTTAAGCATCTGGCACTTCCCATGCTGGCACAGTCTTTCTCTGCCTCCTGCCATCCATGTAAGAGGTGACTTGCTTCTCCTGGCCTTCTGCCATGATTGTGAGGCTTTCTCAGCCACATGGAACTGTAAGGGGATTAAACCTCTTTCTTTTGTAAATTGCCCAGTCTCGGGTATGTCTTTATCAGCAGCATGAACATGGACTCACACAAGCACGTTACTGAAAGAAAGAAGCTTGTCACGAAAGGACAGACACTGCGTGATTCCACTTACATGAGACCCCTAGAGCAGTCACAGTGACAGAGGGTAGAGTATATTAACAGAGGGTGGGAGAAGGATGGGATGGAGAGTTATTTAATGCACATGGAATTTCTGTTTGGGATGATGAGAAAGTTCTGGAGATGGACAGTGGTGATAGTGGCACAGGAATGTGATATAGTTAACGCCACTGAACTGTCACTTAAACATGGGTAACATGGTAAATTTTATGTTATGCATGTTTTACCGCAATTTACAACAATGAAAAAGTATTAAAAATGGACACAGGTTTGCGCTCTCCCTGTGGACATGTACATATATATATACACACACAGACATATATACACGCACACTATATAAATACGCACATATATGAGACGACGTAACATTAATAAGATTATTTTCAGATGGTTGATTTACAAATGCTGTGTTTGTAAGGGAGGTAATATGCTGACAATGTGCCAAGATTTTATTTTTTATCCCAGGAAAGTTACCTAGTTTTTAAACACATGAAGTATTTAGAAAAAATAAAGATCTAAGGTCATTTTTTTAATGTGAAACGCTGAGAAAAGCCCATGTAACAGGCCTTTTTTTCTGTTTATTCTGTTTATTCTTAGAGACTCTAGTTAATTAAACCCAATGAGGAAGAAAAATCAACATGAAGGCAAAAATGTTGCCTGAACCAACAGTGTGGCCTTTTGTTCTCTCTCGCTGATGAGCTCCCAGTGTTGAAAGAGGAGGTGCCTTTGAAAGGTGCTATAAAAAGGAGAAAAGGCAGCCTTTAAAATGGGTGAACTCTGTCTATGAGCTTTCCTATTAAATACATTGATTTTCTTTGCGACACTGCTCTGTTTTTATATAAGAAGAAGCAGATGGCCTCAGAGTTAGACTCTGTTCAGAGGGAACTAAACTTTCCAGTTACTTGAAGTATCTGTTGGCACCATCCCATTCCTTGTTCTAGAACTTCTAGGCAGGATTCAGTACTGTTCTTAATTGCTTTTACTCCTTAAGTAAAGAATTCTTGGATTAAAAAAAAATATCAATTGCCAGCATGACTAATCTGACTTCCTTCCCCCTCCTGAGTGAAATAACTCATTTGTTTCTAGACCATTAAATTCCAATCAGGTGAGAAGCAGATAACAAACCACTCTTGTTGGAGAGCAGAGAAATCGCCCAAAAATCTCAGCACTGGGAGCCCAGGGGAGGTGTGAGTGTCACCCACACAGCAGGGGGTTGCCGTAGGGGGCCAAGGACTGGGTCAGCCAGTGCCCAGAGGTGACCTGGCAGTGCCACCCACCAGCTCCACCTTGCCACCTTACGTAACGGGTTAGGACTGCTCCTGGGTTGTGCAGCTGCGCCTGGCCAAAGGAGAGCCCAGGGTGCCAGAACCAGAACCCTCAGGTAGACAGAGACACATTCACGAAGGCCAAGGCAGACAGCTGAGACTCAGGGTGTCATGTGGCTTAGGTAGAAATGCCCTGACTTTTCCAACCTCTGGCACCTTGATGTGGGTCAGCACAAGAAAACCTGATGTCTGCACATACTGGCAGGAGATTGGCATATCACAAAGATATAAAATCTCGGCCTACTTGCTGTTAAGATTCCTTGTTTTACAACAGGAAGGAGGAGGCTGGACAATGAGACCTGATGACTAAGATGAAGGAAATCCTGTCTGAGCTAAGACTGTCTTGGGGAAGGGAAGGGAGTGCTGAAAGATGTCGGGAACCGCTAGGAAAGGAAGGTGGATTTACAGGGGAAAGGAAATCACCTCAGGTCCCTACTTGGTCTTGAATCGTAACTTGGGTGGTTGTTACAATTAGGACAATTACCAAGTAAGGAAGAAAGGGAAGGAGGTCACGTTCTTTCCTGAATTTGCAGTTGGAATCTTCCCGAGGGATCCATGCCTTGGCCTTACTTACCTGGGTGTCGGAGGGCACAGTCTAGTCTGGGAGGCCTTTCCATGCTAACCTGAGAGGTAGTTGCCCTGCTAGGAAATGGTATGGAGGGAAATCTTCCTGGTCTCTTAAGAAGGAAATTATCTTGGCCGGGTGTGGTGGTTCAAGCCTGTAATCCCAGCACTTTGGGAGGCCGAGGCGGGTGGATCACGAGGTCAAAAGATCAAGACCATCCTGGTCAACAAGGTGAAACCCTGTCTCTACTAAAAATACAAAAAATTAGCTGGGCATGGTGGTGTGTGCCTGTAATCCCAGCTACTCGGGAGGCTGAGGCAGGAGAATTGCCTGAACCCAGGAGGCGGAGGCTGCAGTGAGCCGAGATCGCGCCATTGCACTCCAGCCTGGGTAACAAGAGGGAAACTCTGTCTCAAAAAAAAAAAAAAAAAAAGAAGGAAATTATCTCCCAAGATCCTGTTTTGCATTTTTATATCATGTTGCCAAACCAAAGCCTCTTGAGTTTTCTTGCTTGGCTAAATTACACTTCTGTCTCAGTTATTTGAACAAATTGTTCTTTGTGTATAAGTGTTTCCATTTCTTCTGGAAATAAGTTAGTTATACCTTGACTGAACTTTAATTAATATTAAAATGTTTCCTTTGGCTGACATCTACCAAACTTAAAGAAAATGGAAATAACCATCTCAAGCATCAGGAAGGCACCTCTCTACCACTTCTCACTCAGCAGCCACCTGCTCGCAGCCACCAAGACACTGCAGGGTCTTAGCACTCTAGGCACCAGAATGGTGAAGACCAGAACCTCCTCCCACGGGGCTCCCCCACCTGCCGGTCCCACTGGCCCACTTCCTCCTGTCCTGGGACCATGGTTCCCAACAGTAATTCTAGTTGACTTGAACTTTATGTGGCTTCACGTTATTTAGGTATTGAGGATGAAGACCCACATTTATTGAAAAACAACAACCTAAAGCCAGGTAGACATTAACTAGCATTTATCAAGCACTACAATGCTAAGATTGCTAAACTCTCTACTGCCAATTTCTTCTTGCTCCTCCCAGCACATGCATAAGGCAAGAACTATTTTAACCCAGTTTAAATGTAACTAAAGTGTAAGTGAAATGTAACTAAAGTGTAAAGAGCTGAGATTCTCGCAACATCACCTGGCCAGGCAGTGCAAAAGCAGTTTCAAACCCAAGACCCCAGCTGGCCCTATTCCTGTGGGGCCCATGCCTGAGTCCTGACATTTCCTGTGAGCAGGGTGAGTGGGGGCTCTTACAGGCGCTTGCTGATAAGCATAGTTGCACATGAAATCGATTGTACTGAAAGTCTCATAGGGAACAAATAGATAAACTGGCTCTCAAATAGTGAACGTCTGCAGGTTGCTCTCTTATCACAGATAATCCCAGACGACATATTTAATTTAAAGTTGGGTCAGATGGTTGGACAACCCTGCACCACACATACATGCATACACGCATGCACGCACACACATGCTCTCACACATGCGTGCACACACACTCACACATGCATGTGCACACAGGCACACACACATGCACATATGCACACACACACACGCCCTGGTCAAACTTCACGGTTCCTAGCTTGCTGTTGCTCTGACCCAGACGCGAATCCATGGGAGGATGAATATTCTAGAACTCACGAGTGGCCATTATTCCTAGTAGCATTGGACGTGTTCATTTAATGAACACATGACACATAAAAGATCCCACTGTGACCCTGGGACATAGTTTTGAGTATTTCTGTTGACAGATGAAGACAAGCATTCTCAGAAAGGAAAAGTGACTTTTTCCAGTCGCTGCGCTCAAGCCCACAGGTTCAGCCTCTTTCTAACAGACTGCACCTGTCCTCCTGTTAGCCCATGGGGACTTCCATGAAAAACACCAGCACGAACATAGGGTAGTGAGAACAGACCCAGCGTAAGGAAGCTGGCATTGGTCCAGGGAAAATGGAATCCTGCTGTCACTCTGCAGTGTCCACTGGGTCTCCTGTACAGCTAAGATAATTTTAGGAAGGTTTCTTTTGCCCCATAGGAGCTCAGTAAATCTTTCTCTAAATTACAACTAGAACAATTTTCCAACAGCCAAACACAAAGCTGTGTTTGCCCCTCCTGTTCCCTTAGCAGCGTCTGCCTTAGTGGCCTGGAGTTTCAAGCCAGACTTGGAGAGGGCTAGTTGGGCTCGTGTCTGCAGGACTCTGGGTTCTGCAGTGACACTGTCCCTTTGCCCACTCTCGCATATTTCCTGGTCATCCTTTAAGGACCTCTCCCAAGTACAGACATCTTAGCCTTCATTTTTCAGAGTTCATGAGGATACTCAGTCCCCCTCGTGCCTCTGTCAAGCCTCTCTGCAAAAGGGACCCTAAAGAAACAGGTCTGTTTGCCACTGCCAAGAGGCATCCATAGTCTGTTTCTGCCTCAGCTGCCCTTGTGGAGAAAGAAACTAGGAGCATCCTCCGACTAAGTGTCTGTGTGTGTGTGTGTATGTGTGCATGCATGAACGTGTGTGTGTGCATATGTTTCTATATGTATGTGTATGGGGTGCACATGTGTGTCTCTGTGTATCTATGCGCATGTATGTCTATGTATATGTTTGTGGAGGGTGCAAGTGTGTTCAGGTGTATGCATGTGCATGTGTGTCTATGTAGGCACGTGCATGTGTCTACATGAACATGTGTACATGTGTGTATCTATGCGCATGTGTGTGCATCTGTGTCTGTGTGTGGTGCAAGTGTGTGTCTGTATATGCGTGTGTCTATGTTCATGTGTGTGTATGTGTGTGTGGGTGCACATGTGTCTACGCATGTGTGTCTATGTGCATGTGTGTGCATCTGTGTGTCTGTGTGTGGTGCAAGTGTGTGTCTGTATCTGTGTCTATGTGCATGTGTGCATCTGTGTGTCTGTATGTGTGTGGTGCAAGTGTCTGTCTATGTGTGTGTGTCTATATGTGCATGCATGTGCATCTGTGTGTATGCATGTGTGGGGTGCAAGTGTGTATCCATGTGTGCAAGTGTGTGTCTATGGTCATGTGTGTGTATGTGCGTGCATGTATGTGTGTACATGCATGCATGTCTGTGTGGGCACAGGGTACATATATATGTGTGTGATATGTGTGTTGTCTTCTTTATCTCCATCATCTATCTCTGTACATTCCATGTAGATTGATAATATATTTTCTACATGTAATGTATATATCTGTACTTTACATATACAACATTTGGCATATTTTACCTGTGCTTATCTATTCTGTGGCTGGGGTTATTCACCTAGCCAGTGGCTAAGAGCAGAGGTTTTAGAATTGGCAAGTCCTAGGTTTCACTCCGCACTTTGTTCCCATTGACCCTACCAAGTGTCTTCCTGAACATGCCTCAGTTTACCCATCTGTGAACCATCCATGATTTAGAGCAGTTCCCAGCACCAGTGGCACAGCCAACAGGAGTTACTGTGTTTCTCAACAGAGTTTTAGCTGCTTCCAGAGATGCTAGAATGCTAGGGATGCTCTCTTAGGTTTGGTTCTGGTGATGCCGAAAAGAATCTCCCAGGGGACCCCTTCTTTTCACCCAATCTGGAGACCAACACAGCTTTTGGTGCAGCCCAGGGAATGTGTGTTTGACTCTGTGCACGAACAGAAGCCTTTCTCAGTTCTCACAGGGTCCCAACACTCCACAGTCAGGGATCCAAAAATACTCAACATGCCGGAAAAATGTTGTTACATAATATTTACCAGGTACCAGATAATCAGTCCACAAAATTCAAAAACACACATTCTTCTCTAATTCTCACATGGGAGATCACTGAACTGGGTAAAAGCAACAAAGCAGGAATTCTATGGGTGGGGCTGAAACAATCCCTAGGAAAAAATGCAAATCTTCCCTAGACTGATCCATGCTTCCTTTATCGTCACATGCAGCTGGTTTTCATCCAGTGGGAGAAAGCAGTTAACTTGGGGAAAAAACCCACAGTAAGAATAAATACATTTTTAATCTCATCTTTCAGTAATAGTTCCATGACTGCACTCCTCAACCAAAGGGTTTGCTGCCAACTAGCTGCCATCATTTACGTAAGAAGCTCTGTTGAGGGCCCACTGGATTTCAGGCCTTCAGCAGACACAGGTGCCTGGGAATCATTCCACTAGGGCCAATGCAAGATGCCCTGAAGTTGGATCGTGGGAGCAGCACTGTCAGCTATGGAAGACATGCTTCGGGGAGAAAAAGTGGATGATGGCAGGGCGTGGTGGCCCATGCCTGTAATCCCAGCCCTTTGCGAGGTGGAAGCAGGCGGGTCACCTGAGGTCAGGAGTTTGAGACCAGTCTGGCCAATGTGGTGAAACCCCATCTCTACTGAAAATATATAAATTAGCTGGGCACGGTGGCTCGTGCCTGTAATCCCAGGTACTTAGGAGGCTTAGGCAGGAGAATTGCTTGAACCCAGGAGGCAGAGGTTGCGGTGAGCCAAGATCGCGTCACTGTACTCCAGCCTGGATGACAGAGCAAGACTCTGTCCCAAAAACAGAAACAAACAAACCAAAAAGTGGACAAAGACAAATGTTTCAAGTCTACAGGAGTTTCGATGATGACTTATAAACCTCGATCCTAAAGGATTAAAAACGCTGTCAGTAGAGAAGACACTTTAGCTATACTCTGAAATGGGACTCAGTTGCAAAGAACAGAGGCTCCAGCCACGTGCAGGTGTGTGACACCTACTGCGGGTCACTGATAGAAAGGGACAGGCTGTCCTTATCTCCCAGGGACTAAGGCCTGGAGGGGCAGACAGGGTGTGCAGAGCAGAACTGGCAGGGGTCAGGCAGAGGCTGCTATGCTCATGCTTCCCATTTCTGGTTATCAATGGCAGGGTGGTGACAGGCAAACATGCAGGGCAACAGCCACTGGCCACTGACCATCCTCCTTCTGGGCCTCTTGCTCGGTCCCTAACAAACACAGAAGCTGCGGCCACTGAGAGGCTGTGACTTTGAATCCCACTGCCACGACCTGTGGCAATGCAGGGAGCATGCGTGCAGGTGGCCTACCTCCTCCACCAGCCACCTGACACCTGCCCGTCCCTGTTGCCCATGGCGTGCAGGCGGCCCACCTCCTCCACCAGCCACCTGACACCTGCCAGTCCCTGCTGCCCACGGGGTTTCCTAGAGAGGCAGAAAGGGGCTCCCATTCTGTGCAGCCAGCCCAGGAGGACTGCCTGCTGTGTTCCTAAGGGTGAGCGAGTCTGGGCAGCACTGGGCTTTTCCCTGGTCATGTTTTGTGTCCTTGCAGCAACACCGATACAAGCCTGCCATTCCATCTCGGGCTCAGGAAACAACGGTGCATCCATTTCCCTCTCCAGCCAGGAAGAGGCGCCATGACAGCTCCACTGGGCCTCCCACATGATGCCGCAGAAACTCCACAGAGGAAACCTCCCCGTCTTCACAAATGACTCCACCCAGGGCCAGGGGACAAAAATCCTCTTACTCAGGCTTTGCTTGGGCCTACCTCTGCTGTATTTCCCACTAAGCAGAAGTGACTTCTGTTCACACTTACTCTATTAGAGAAAGGAATGGGAGCAACACATTCCTCTTGCCGGCCACATCTGCTAATACGAGACTGGCTGTTTTTCAGCTCTGTGCGCACTTGTCTGTCTGACTCATGCACGCCGAATGTGACTGGCTGATGACTTCTGGGAGCAGTTTTAAATTCTGAAGCAACTGAGATCTGCAGAAAAGTTGCAAAGAGAGTCCCTGTATGCCCTTCACCCAGACATCATGATGCCATACTGACATTCTGTAAAACTACGGCACATTTACGAAAACTAAGAAATTAACATTGGTACAGAAATTAACCTCAGCAACTGAACTGCAGACTCTCCTGGAATCTCACCAGGTTTTCTGTCCCAGGACCTGCCCCAGGATACCACACTACACTTAAAGGAGCAGGTTTTACAAAAAAGCTTGTTGTTTCAAAAGGCAGCCTCATCGAGGCAACAGAAGACATGGAAGCAGAGCACAGGAGCCAGCCACAGCTCAGGAGGGAGGGGATGGGCCGGAACCCAGCACCCAGGAAGGAGCCTGCCAGGTGGACAGGGGCTCCTTGCACTTCCTTTGAAATTTACTTTCTGACCATGGGAGACACCCGTCAAATCTCCCTATATTAGACACCACCTTCTTCTTTCATGGGTAACCAAAATAAAAATTACAGTCCTGCAGAGCCACCAATGCAATCAAGAGCAGTGAGTCACTTAGGCCGTCACCTGTCCTGAGAGGGTCTCGTTAACTGGAGGGAGCAGTCACCACAGGGAACAGCAAGAGGGGACTGTCTAGAGGGAGCAGTCACCACAGGGAAACAGCAAGACGGGACTGTCTAGGAACTCTGCCCTTTCCCTCACCTCAACTGAGAAGTGTCACGTATTTATTGGATTCTGGAAGCTTCTCCACACCATGAGGATACAAAGTCCCATGTGGCATATTGATTTCTAAGCAATGTCCTGGTGCAGGCTGGATACATTCTATTCCGGAGCTGGTTTGGAAGGGCTTTCTCATCCCCAGCATCACGGCGGAGACCCCGGCTCACCATCACAGGTCTCAGCACAGCTGCAGGGCCTGGCCCTCACTTCTGACTCTCCAGCTCGCTCAAGGTATGTCCAGCACCTGAGAGCTCGATACCACACAACATTCTCGTCCTGGCCCCAGAGCCAAAGCATGGAAAGTGACTTGCCCTGAAGCCAGGACCTGGTTAGCAGCGGGCTGGGTCAGACGCTATGGCCTCCCAAGACTGCTGTGTAGTTCCTGGGCCCAATTCACAAGCCGAACAGCCAAGGCCAGGCGCTGCAGACAGTGACTCCCACCTTCAGCAGTGATCACACAACAGACGCCAGCAGATACGAAGCAAGAGGCCAGTTTCAGAGCTTTCTCCAAAACCCTCTAATCAAAGACAAACATTCTTCTCCAGATAAAAAGAATGAGACATTCCCGGACCACTGGCTAGGTGGTGATCTCTTCATCATATTATCAACGGTGTTGAAAAGTTACATCTCCATGGCACTTAATTTTTCCCTTGAGTTTCTCGATTATTTAAACCATGCACCCATTTTCTTTCCCTCTCCCCAGAAACAAAATTAAACACAGTTCTCTGATTTTGATTATTTGAGCAGAATCCTTTTTTCTATTCTACAACCTTTTCCGTGGTCTTCACCTCTCTCTCTGGCTCCAAACAGAGCCAATGGGTGGTACTGAGACTGTTTCCCTCCCCTGCGCTTTCCGGCTTGCCCCTCCTACCCTCCTCTCCTTCTGGGATGCTGTGGACAAATCTCTGCTATTACTTATCATGGCCGAGCCCTACAAGCCACCCAGGGAGGAAGGCTTTACCAGCCTCCAGAGAGCTGAGATATGCTTGTTTTCCAAGAGCAGGGGAGGAATCCCGTGCTTTTCCCTACTTTGTAGGGGCCTGTCTTTGAGCAACAGGGCTTAGGCTCCAGGGAGTGTAGGAAAGAACTATTTGTCCTGCTCCTTACAGAAAGCTCTGGGTCTCTGGTGGCACTGAACACCTGTCCTCCCCATCCCAAAGCCCTCAGAAAGGACTTGCCACCATGGCTGCTGGGACAGGGAAGGTGGTGGCAGCCAACAGGAGGGTCAGGCGAGTTTCCTGGGTCTGGCACCCCAAGCGCGGCCTGGAAACAAAGTGGCAGGCAGAGGCCCCACACTGATACCTACGAGAACCCCCAGGTCCGGGGCAGAGGTCCTCAGGAATATGCCCAGCCTGCTGCATATTTGGTCCCTCGAGGCTGCTGCCCACCCTCTGAGGACAAGTAACAATGCTCAGAATGGCTGCAGTGAGCACTTTTCAGCCTCCATGAAGGTTACAACAGGTAGCCGAGGGGACTGTCCCTTAAACAGGCCAAGGGGATACTGCTTGGCACCCAGGCGGTACCAGAGCCTCCAAGGTGCTTCGCATGCACCCACACACCTCACAGCTGCCCCACCTATGAGGTGGGTGCGATGAGTACCACCTCTGCCTTGGGGGAGAGGAGAACTAGGATGCAGAGGCTTGGTGAGTACGCACTCTAGGCGGCAGCCCCTCAGCTGCCCACCAGCTGAGAACTAGCCCGGCACCTGCCTCGAGTCTGGGATGGGACCCCAGTGTCACACTGCCTTACACGAAAGCATTCTGTGCATCTTGAAACTGCGTTCAAACAAGGGCACCTTTAGAAAAGGCATCATGGACAGCAGGGAGTGGGTCCTGAGGGCCCGTGCGGAGCAGCTGGCTTCACACTGAGTCCAGAGCACAGGCCGCCCCATGGATTTCGGCTCCCTTTCCTCCTTTTGGGAAGGGCCTTGCTTCTCTCCTTCACTGAGTGCCCCTGATCCTCAGAGTGGGAGAAGCAGAGGAGATCCTCCCTCCTAGGAGTCAGTTCCAGCTCTACTGTTAGTCCAAGGCCAAGACCAGGGAGAAAGAACCCACACCCCAGGAGACTCAAAGACTGAAGGTCAGGAGTGCCCTCCTGGCCAACTTTCAGGCTCTGGGAAGCTCAGTGTGGAGGAAGGGGCCTGGGTGCCAATCTGTCTCATTCAGTTACAAAGACAGGATCTTGGGCAAGGGCTTCAAACCTTTGTGCCTTTTCTCACCTGTAAAATGGGGAAATGATAGTTACGAAGCTCCTAAGTATGTTTTCCTGTGAGGATTACAAGCAGTAGTGCAGACGAATCACACACAGTACGTGCTCAATCAGCAAACCCAGGCTCTGCACTACCCAGCCCAGCTGCTTCTGCAGCCCCGCTCTTCAACCACCGAGCGGCAGCCCTTTCTCCTGAACTGACCTACCCAGGAAAAAGTCCTTGTCACAATTAAGACAAATCTTTCATCAGTACAGTTGAAAATCAAAGCCTTATTTCACGAGGAACAGCCATTCAAGCCGGTGTTTACCGAGAACGAGCGGCCCCTTGTTGAAAGTAGCAACGTGCAAGTCTCTTAACAACACATACTAGTAGGCCCCTAGTAAGATGATTAAAAATATCCAGTTTTATTTGTAGAGTTAGAATTGAAAGCCCAGTGACTTGGCAGGTAATCGCAACTGCCTCTCAACCCCATACTCCAACTCAGTGGTTCCCAGATTCTGGTATCATGTGGGAAGCAGGGTCCTGGACTCCACCCCAGAATGTCTGACTGGAAGGTCTGAGATGCGGACCTGGCTTCTTACCAAGGCTTTCCAGGTGAGTTAGGTCTGCGGGTCTAGAACTTTGCGAAGCTCTGCTGGGCAGTCAATCATCTTGGTCCCACCCAGAGATCAAGGGTGAAAGAGAGGGTGAGCTTGCAGCATCGATGAGGTTTCGGGGAGGCATAGAGGTGTCTCATCTCCCTTAGGGTACTTGGCCTTTATAAGAAACCATACTTCAAAGTACGGAAACTGAGGCTCTGGATTTAAGAGAATAGGGCAGAGCTATGTTTAGTACCTAGGTTTTTTTTCTTTAGACAGTCTTGCTCTGTCACCCAGGCTGGAGTGCAGTGGTGCAATCTTGGCTCATTGCAACCTCTGCCTCCCCGGTTCAGGCAATTCTTGTGCCTCAGCCTCCTGAGTAGCTAGAATTACAGGCAGGCACCACCGGGCCTGGCTAATTTTTTGTATTTTAGTAGACACAGGGTTTTACCATGTTTCTCCCAGGATGGTCTCGAACTCCTGAGCTCAGACAATCAGCAGGCCTCAGCCTCCCAAAGTGCTAGGATTACAAAAGTGCACCGCCCGCCCAGGCTAGTTGGATCTTTTGAAGACCTAGGTGCCTGGTGGTCTTTCCACCAATTTTAGGATGAGTTCAGAAAAGAATTCCCGGGACTCCCACCAGCCTTAAGCATGATCAGATGGATATTATAAAAGTGCCTCTAGGGACAGAGAGGTGCGGGCATCGGTACAACTGAAGCACACGCAGCCCGATTTGGTACTTTCTAGGGACGTCTGCCTTTGAGTGCGTGTGTGTGCACGCGCATGCATGCGTCGCTTCTGGTTCATAAATCTGAGCCACGTCTTATATGCAAACAGGCCTGTGCATTAGAATTCACAGGGTCACTGGGCTAGTTCAACTATCTAGGTTCTGATCTTAGGTCAGGGCTGGGAGAAGGACGGAGACACAGACCAGAACGTGAAGAAAACTTTGGCCTGCAGTGCTCTGGTCAAAGTCTCCGAGTCCTCCTTTTACTTTCCATCCTGGGCCCTGAACCAGAGCCAACAGCAGCGGAAAAGCAAAGTTAGCAGCTCTTTCCCAAGTGCGAGTAGCTCCTTGTCACTCACTGCCTTTAAAATCCTGGTTTGTTTTACATTAGGGCAGAACGATGTAAAAACACCAGAAATCAGATGAAATCATGAACACGTTTCCCCTCTGTCCCCGTGTGGTGCTCTGAAACTGTGCGCGCTGAGGAGGGAGGGGTCCACCCCGGGAAATCCACCGGGACTCTGGCCGCCACAGGCTCCGGTGGCCACAGTAAGCAGAGGTGGGGCAGCGGACATCCCCAAAGCTCCCTCCTCTTTCAGCTCCTGTCTAAACATTTGAGTCCTGAGCGGAATACCCCCATGAAACCTGTTCATTTTAGCCATGGTTACATAAAGCTCAGTAAAAGTGGCTCCTACTCTTTAAACAAAACGTTTTAAATGTGCAAAGCCTCGCAGTGCAGTCGCCAACAGCAGCCACGGTACCGCGGGGCTGTGCATGGCCGGCGTGGAGGGGCAGGCTCGGCAACAGGGTCCCAGGGTGGCGCCCGGGGCCGGTCTTCCAGGGCCGGACCAGGACTCCGGAGAAAACGCGGTTTTTCTGCCACTGTTCTATCGCAATGGTTCAGTTCAAACAATACTAAGGTTGTCTTGTTCGCCTCCTCGCCCCGCCCCTTTACCCAGAGCCTCCCATTTAAAAACACAAAAAACCCTCAGCTCTTGACAGAGCCTCCCCACCAGCTCCCGAGTTCCAGGAAAACTTTTTCTTGCCCTAAGCCTGGCGCCTCACTGCCAGGGACTGACACTCTCCCCTCGCCTCTGCGGCTGCAGCTTTGTTCAAAGCTAGTAGACGGTGCATTAGGCTAATTTAAAGTTCTCAGCTTTAGGGCCGACGCCTGCAAAGCACAGGATTGACGCAGGGAACCCCTGGGAAGGAAAGGTGGAACACATCACGCGGGAAGAGCGAGCTTTCTCAGAACCTGGGTGGGCAGGCTGGCGGACACCGCTCGCGCACACACAAGCTCGGGAGCGCCCGGACGGGCTGCCTTCTGCAAGGCCACTCAAACGTCCCCACCACTCTAGGGCGCGCAAGTCCAAGCGCGTGGGGTCGGGGCCAGGACTTACCGCCAAGACGCTCTGGGAGAGGAACCCCACGGTCACGGTCCCCAGCAGCAGCCACCTGAATGGGAAAGGGAGGGAGAGGGACATGAACGCGCGGGCCCGGCTTGTCAATCCCCAAGAGCTATACAGAAAGGGGGACCCACGGGGACCAGGCAGAAAGTCGCTTACCGTGGTAGGGCAGGGCCGGCCGCCGCGCGCTGGTTTCTCCCCATGCTGGCGGTGAGTCCGCTCTGGGCCGCGGTCAGTCCCGCTTAGCCTAGAGGCGAGAGACAAAGCGAGTTCAGCGCAGGATGAGGGAGGCAGCCCATCCTCACCGCCGGTCTCGGTCCGCGAGACGCGGGGACAGCGCGGGGCGCCCCGCATGCAGGGGTGACCGGAGGGCCGTCCCGCCACGACCCGGAAAGAAGGAGAACCTCCCGTTAGGCCCCCGTGTGTGCTGCTTGGCCGAGAAGCCCCGTCCCCGCTCTCCCACCCTCCCGGTTTCTACTCCCAAGCAGGAGCACGCAGCCCCAGACCGCACAAGGCGCCCAAGCCCGAGCTCTCCGGCCAAGGTCTGGGCGCCGCTCGGGGGTCGCTCTCACCTCGGGCTCGGCTTCAGGGGCTGCGGCCCGCGCGCATTGGCCCTTCCAGAGGCACCCGCCGGCGCACACCCACAGCGCGGCCGCCCTCACTGGGCTCCCTGGGCGCCGGCTTCGGGGTCTCGGGCGGCCTCTCTGGGTCCTCGCCCTGGATCGGCGAGAGCGCGGGCGCAGGGTGTTGGGACGCGGGAGCCCCTGGGTGCGGAGCGCAGAGCCCTGGTGTCCCGGCGCACGGCGGCCACACTCCCTGGCTGCGCGCTCCCGCCGCCTCTTACCCGCGCCGCAGGGTCCTCCCCTTTGAGGCGCCGCCCGCGCAGCGCCAGGGGGAGGGGGCAGCGGCAACAAATTGGGGAGCTCGGCCCGCCGCGCTCAGGTCTCCGCTTGGAGCCGCCGCACCCGGGACGGTGCGCAGCGCTGGAAGCCCGGCCTTCCGAGAGCGAGCTGCCCGCCGCGGCCCCCGCACGCCTGGCCTCCGTCCCCTGCCGTCCACCGCCGCCTCGGGCGCGCCACCATGGGGCCCCGGCTCGGCGTCTGGCTGCTGTTGCTGCCCGCCGCCCTTCTGCTCCACGAGGAGCGCAGCCGGGCCGCTGCGAAGGTGAGTCCCAGGCCGGCTCCGCTCCCCGCGTCCCGCCCTGAGCCCGGGTGCCCCGAGAGGCCCCTTTGTCCGCTCCGGGAGCCGCCCGCCTGTCCCTTAGGGGTCGCGCGTGGCACGGCTAGGTGCATTCTCTGGGCCAGTGCTCGCTGGGGGTCCCTATGTGCTACAATCGCGCATCGGTGGACCGAGCCTCCTTTGTTATGGTGTGGGTACTGGAGAGTTAGGGAATTCCTCCGGGGAAAGGAGGAGAAACAGCCCGCACTGTGGCGGGGCGACGGTGCCCGGGATTCGGCGGGATTTGAACCCGCGTCGCAGGGATGCTCAGCAGCTGGGCGCCTTCACCCGCCCCGGGTGCGCGAGGGAGTTGGGGGTTGGCGGGGCGGGAGCGCGCACTGGGAGCTTGTAGCCCAGAGCGTCTGGGAAGAGCTTTGGGCGTATTTCTCCTTGTCTGGAGACCCTGGTGACCGAGGCTGAAAAGCTCTGGGCCCTTTGCCTGGAAACAGCTGTATCTGAGCTTTCCCACGACTGCTGCCTAAGGCGCGCTCCAAGGCAGAAATGGGGCTCTTCTGGACGCCCGGCTTGAAGAAGCCATCATCCTCAACTCGTTGCCTTCTATTAATATATTTTTCTTAAAAATTACAGCCACATTCATATTTGAACATGAAACCAAAGTGAAACTCCATGTCATTGTTCCATGCACAAATTGTTTTTCTAGTTTTCATTTCCTCTGGTTATGTGCTTGCCCAGAAAGGATCTGGGAGATCGGTTTGCAGGAGTCGAGGCTTCCAGCCCTGGACAAGCCTGGACTGACTGTTGTTTCCTTTTTTCCTTCCCCTCCGAGAAAGTCAGGGCTTCAGCTGTTGCTCAGTGTCACAGCCATGCAGTCCCAAGGGCCGGAAGGTGTGGCTTCTGAACCCTTTTTGCAGTTTTTCCCTCAAATGCTTAAAGATGATTTTTGCTACTTACCAGATTTTACACACGTATTCTTTTACTGGTTCTTATGTTCTTTGTTTTCCTCTTAAATTTTTTATTTTTTTACTTCTCTCTTGGAAGAATGATATTCACCAAATCCACTTAACTTTATAGAGATTGTTAACTGTTACAAGCCAGAGTAAACTGCTGTTAAACACAGGTCTCCTTATTGAGAGTTTATCTCCCCGGAGGCAGCTTCTCCATTGGGTATTGAAAGGACTAATGATTACATCAGCAATTAACTTCAGATTGCTCCTCCCTGCCCAGTCTCCCCAAACTTCAGCCTGTTCTTTTAATACTCTTTGGTGGTGATGACAAAATACTTTCCAAAGAGCAGGCTTGAGAGCACTTGGTCTAGAAATACTGACCAACAGATTGAATGCTTCCAAGGTGAGATGGTGAAGCCTGATGATGGCAAGTTAAATCAGAGAAAGTTCTTCATTGGGAAACAGGAGCTGTTCGGTTTCGATTTTCCGATGGATAATGTGAGCAAAGCAGAGCTAACTAAGACTGGCTTTCCAAACATCCAGGACTGTAGAAAGGAAGAGCCACTCAGTTACGAAAACTCCTGTTCTCACCTGGGAAATGAAATGCGTTGATGTTGAGCTGGAGACGATTTTACTTCCCTTTAATCATTTCCTAAAGCTGAGTTGCATTCCTGGCCACGGGCTTTGCGTGTCTCTCCAGGTGCCATGACTGTTTTTAAGAGATGCAGGGTGTGGGCACTTCTGATCTCAAGCTGACCTCACAGATATTATCATTCCTCTGTGTTTCTCTGGCTTAATTAGAGACAAGTGATTAATATGAAGACGTATGGGAATACAAGGAAATCACTTAAAATTATATCTGCCTGATTTTAAAGTTCGTCTCACTTTTCATGCCATCAAAAACATTTTTACTTACCTCCTTCCACAATCAGCTGTTACATATACCAAAATCCTGAAATAGCTTCAATATTGACCCAAGCAAAACATAATTTAAAAATACATTTTGAATGATAAGATGCTGGGGATTTTGTCAGGTCCGAATTCAGAAGCCCGTGGAAATGGCTGTTGGCTGGCCTTTCTTTTGGGCTGTCTGAATCACGCTTCACCTGCATTTGTACTTCGAGACGTCACCTACTGTGTGCCAGGCAGGAATTGCACTTATTTCTTTTTTTCTACATGGAAGGCTGTTTAATTTTGTATATGCTGTATCTGCTATGGTCATATTATTTACGTACTCATGGGGGGATTTTCTCAACCATTGATTTTATCCCATGCTGAACCTACCACTCTATTCTCTGCTCCTCCCCTCCTCCACTTTTCTTTAGCAAGAAAGGAGGAATAGCTTGCAGGCTCCAGGCAAACACGTGCCAGTGGTGTTCTGATGGTGAGCACCCTCTGCTCTTAGTCACGCAGTTGCAGTGGGTGGAATGAGTCCTTCCTTCAGAAGCCTGCACACCCTCCTCTAGCTGGTTCCATGTCATGCTTCTTAACAAATTATTTCTCAGGATTAGAAATGTGAACTTTCCCCTCAGTGTGGTGATGGCTGTCCAGCAATATTGTCATCTCCTGACCATTAGTCACCACCTCTGGGACTGAATGACCTAGAGTTCAAACTAAGTGAGATTTCATTCCCGTATAAGTATGGACCATGTTCTACTGGAAACGTGGTTTAGATGAGAAGGCTGATTCTGAATGAGTCCCAGAAACAGCAGCATCACCTGGGATCTCAGGAGTGATAATGGTGAAGCTATTACTTACATCATCAAGCTCTTTATATTAATAAATGGAATTGGACTAGGGTGAAGGGATACAACTTTAAGACCAACCAGAAGACACAGTGTTCATGTACTCTGGATTCACAGAACTATCGATGCTATGCATTATTAATAGTCATGTGTATGCAGAAGTAGTGTGCTTTAGGCACCGGCGAACCCTACATTTTATGTCTGCTTTTAAGCAGATGATTTGGGGGTGCTCATTTAACTCCATGCCTCAGTTTCCCTGGCAGATCTGCTCCTGTTTTCCTGTATTCCACATATGCATCTGGAACACCTCCTTCATGCCATGACCCTGCCAGGTGCTGGCTGTGCGACAGGGACTCACCCCACCCTGTGTCCCCAGGGACGTCTTGTGAGAAATATTGGAAAAGAAATAGACAAATCCAACTCAGGCTGGTAAATGTCACAGTCAAGGGAGATGAAAGGCTATAGGAGCACTGAATCCAGCTTTGGGGAACTCAGAAGAAACTTCTGGGAGGGTCTTCTGCCTCTGAAATATGAGGGAGAAATAGAAGCTATACACCAGCATATCATTTCCATGTGTGCTGTGATGGTGTATCGTACACAGAAGGCATGGCCATTCTGCCTGTCTGCTCTCAAGTCTCAGGATCTTTGCACTGAAAGACGACCTTCAGCTTGCTCCCTAGAGACACCAAGACGTCGTTGTTTCTATGACTAACATTCTTGGTGACTGAACTTTGCTCTCAGATGAGTGGAAAGAATTGTAAGGGCAGGGTTTAGGGGACCAGTGATAACAAAGAGCTCCTAGCTCCAACTGAGGCTCCAGCATGTGGTGATGTCCCTTTTCTTGGAGGTGGCAGGTAGGCAGGCTGGGATGATTGGAAAGTTGCAGCATGGATGGCTGATTCTAGTCAGGAGTGTCTTTAGGAACTGACCCAGAAAACCCACCTTCACGTGGGCCAGGCCATGAGGGAATTCACAAAACCCTACATTATTCATTAACAAGACTGTTGGCAAATTTCTGAGAACTGGAAAGGATGGTCATAATGAGTTCAGTTACTTAGTTAAGAGCTGGTAAACATTTTGCAGACAAATGGCACCCACCAGTGACGCTCCAAGA